AGGCAGCTTTAATACTAACTTCGCGCCTTTCGTTCGAGACCTTCCAGAACTCCGATCTTTCATCCGATTCCTTCCCTTGGTAGATAAACATACCTAGTTTCATGTTGTAGAAGCCTTTGATCTCGAATCAGATCCATGCTCCTTGAATTGAGCTCCAAAGTAGGCTTCACAAAACAGTTTTCTGCCTTAGCCATTTTCTGGCAGTTTTCCAGTTTTGAGGTAGCAACTTTGAGGCCTTGGAAAACAACCTTAATGACATCATCTGGCTCCATAAAGCATACCATTGGAAAGCTGGTAACTTGATCTGCAAAACAAACCCTTAAACTTGAATTTCCACCAAGCATATTGAGAGAACCATGCCTCCAAAGTATGTACCCTGAACACGGATTTTGACTTAGCCAAATTCTGCCCTTCTTCTTTCCAACCTTGATAGCTTCTTTGGCAAGTAATTGTGACTTGTAGAAGTAGCCAATTTGGATCATATCACTTAGTACGAGAATGTCGAATGAGATTCTTGGTCATGTTAATTGTACTTATATTGTCGCAAAACATGGGAAGAGAGCCTAAGTAGAGTCCATAATCTTGGAGTTGATACTTTACCCCCAAAAGCTGGAAGCAATTGAGTCTTGCAGCTATATATTATGCACTGGCAGTAGTAGATACAGCTGCAAAACTTTGCTTTTAAATTGACCAAGATATCAAAGAAGTACCTAGAAATTGACAACCACCAGACATGCTTTTTCTGACAACTATACACCCAACATAGTCTGAATCACTATAGCTAAGGAGTTCTAGGCTAGATTCACATGAATACCAAATCCCCAAGTATTGAGTGCTGGTAAGGTATCAAAAAAATCTCTTAACAACCGACAAATGGCTCATTTTAGGATAACTTTGAAACCTTGCACAAACACACACACACACGCTATACATAATGCCAGAACTACTAGCATTCAAATACATAAGTGATCCATAGGGGGTTATAGCTGGTTTGGGATTTCCTAAGTCAATTTGTCGAGCATATTCAGCAGGTATTTTGTTTGACTTATAAATTTTCATTTCTTTGTTTGTTTAACCTCCAACTCAAGGAATCAATTGAGTTCGCCCATGAGACTCATCCGAAACCCCTTTTCATAGTGGCTTCAAACTCATTACAATATGTTTGACTAGATGACCTGAAAATAATGTCATCAATATATACTTGAACTTAAATAGTGTGATTATTTATGCAGTTATGCTCTTAATGAACAAAGTCTTATCTACTCATCCTTTATGAAGTACGTCGTTTATTAAGAAGGTACTCAGTTTTTCATACCAAGCTCTAGCAACTTGCTTTAATCCACACAACGCTTTATTAGTTTATAAACATGATTTGGAAATTTGTGGTTTAAAGTTCTGGTGGTTGTGCTACATACACTTCTTGTTTTAAATATCCATTTAAGAAGACACTTTTAACATCTATTTGAAAAAGTTTGAAGTTTTAGAGGCAACATAAACACACAATAATCAAATAGCTTCTAATCTATCTACTAAGCAAAGGATTCATCAAAATTGATCCATTCTTCTTGATCATAACCTTGTGCTACATTATTCTTGTTAAATTCCAAATTTCATAAGTTTTATTTTGAAAAACCCACTTAGTTCCAAATAAAGTTTTGTCTTCTAGATCTGGCACAAGTTCCCAAACATTAATTCTTTCAAAATGTCCTAATTCTTAGCATAGCTTCTTACTAGAATTCATCCTGTAATGCTTTATTAACACTTTTTTGGTTCAACCATTGAAACGAATGCAATATGCACAGATGGTACCTTAGAACGAGTGAGCATATCTTGTTTCAAATCTCCTATGACTTGAGATTCTGGGTGTCATTTTTGGATATGAGGAGGTGGTTGCAGTTCCAAATCGTCCTTATTTTCTACTTTGGCAACAACGGAGTCACAACAAGCCGCTTCATTTGATTATGTTTGTGATTCCACATAAGCATGTTGTGTACAACCTAGCCCGATATCATCATCTTCTTTGATTAGATCAGCACACTGACTTGTAGACTCATCAAATACAGCATATATGGACTCTTCAACCTTGAGATTCCGTTTATGGTAAATCCTATAAGCCTTACCATTTGTGGAGTGCCCTAGAAAAAAATTTCATCTGATCTAGAGTCAAATTTTCCTAGACTCTCCTTTGTATTTAGTGTACAACACTTACATCCAAAGGGGTGAAAATAGAACACATTGGGTTTTTCAATTCCATAACTCGTAGGGTATGCTATTTAGATTAGATCCAAGGAGGGTAAGATTTTTAGTATTGCAAGCAGAGTTTATGGCTTCTCCCAAAAATGCTTGGTAGCCCATAATCATTTAACCTAGTTTTTGCCATATCTATCAGTGTTCTGTTTTTGCGTTCTAGCATCACACTTTGTTGAGTTGCCCGAGGAGCAGAAAAGTTGTGAAAGATCCATGATTCCTCACAAAACTGTTCAAAATTTTCCGAGATGAAACCTCCTCCATGATCACTCCCTTATACTAACAATTTTAGTTTCTTTTTCATTTTCAACACATTTAACAAGACCTTTGAAGTTTTGATATGCTTCATTTTTGTTAGCAAGGAAAAGTACCCAAGTGAAACATGAAAAGTCATCAACTATGACAAACAAATAGTACTTACCATCTAAGTTCATGACATTGCTTGGTTCAAAAAGATCAAGATATAAGAACTCTAGGGGTTTAAATATGGAAATAACAAGTTTACTTTTGAATAAAGATTTGACTTGTTTTCCTCTAGCACAAGCTTCAAAAAAAAAATTCTTTTTTCTGTTTATTTTAGGAATGCCCAGATACTAGATCCAAACTGATCGAATTAGAGTTTTAGACAAAGTTCCCACACTTACATGACCCAACCTTCTACCACTACAATTGATTGTTTTTGTTAACAGAAACCAAACACATTTAATTAAACATACTCTTATCACTTAAATCCAGTGTTATTAAAGCCAAGCCGAGCCGCTCAGCCCGACCGGTAAAACCGCCACCCGGTCATAAAACCGGCTCGGAACAGTCTAAAAGACGCTCCGGTTTTATGTAGCGGTTGACGAGAGGTCGAGGCGGTTAACCGCTCGAGCTGATCGAGCCGCTCTTCCGGTTTTTGCAATTCCGCCGTTAAATTTAATTAAAAAAATTGCAGAAAATTAAAAATTGAAATAAACCAAAAACGTCGGGCTCTCAAACTGAATCCTTATTTACATTTCACAATTTCAAAGAAAAGAGACGAGCTCTGACTAAGAAATGTCCACTATTTATACTGATAATATTTATTAGGTACCGGTTCTCTAAACGATTTTTAAACGGTCTAATGTCGGTTGGACCACTAAAGTGCGAGCCGTTCGCATTACCGGGTCATGCTCCGGTTCGGTTCTGACAACATTGCTTAAATCTATGCAAAATAAATTTTATTTTCTTTAACTAGTAAACATAATTATTTTGTTTAATATGTTTTCAACATAACATCCATTTGACTCAAATACTGCTATGTTTATTTCACGTCACATTTGACTAATTAAATTAAGTATGTTTCAGTTGTGCCACTAATATTGCATTTTTTTTTTATTGAAGGGGTTGTTCCAACTTGTCATTTACCCAAAATATTAGTGCTATTATAGTTATCACCAAAGTAAACTTTACCTTTCTTGTCCTTGAGTAGATTACTAAAAAGTTTTTCATTCCTGGTCATGTGATGTGAGCATCCATTATACAAAATCCAGGAAAAAATCCCAGAATACACCAATTATTAAAAAAAATTCCCTAAATACAGTATTTATAAAATTAATTCCCAAAGTACAGCAGTTTCAACATCACTGTCTTTGTCTAAGACAGTGATGTTGATCACCGTTTTGGTCTAAAACGATGATACATCACCGCTTTTGACAAAAGCAGTGATGCTATCACCGCTTTTGACCAAAGCAGTGATGCTATCACCGCTTTTGACCAAAGCAGTGATGCTATCACCACTTTCAAGGACGACAGTGATAGCATGACCGTTGATGAGGGAAGCAGTGAGGGCCTTCACCGTTGGATCCAAAAGCGGTGAAGTGGCGCGGATCGCTGACGTGGACGCGCGCGGGCACTTCACCGCTGAAGACCAAAGCGGTGATAGCCCCGCTTTCCACCTCAGCGATCCGCCCCTTCACCCGCGCCTTCACCGCTGCCGTCCGATGCAGTCATGCGCGGATTGTGATTTTTCTCCACAATCCGACGCATCACACGCCGCCACGTCACCTATCCGCGCCATCACCGCCTTTGTTGGACGCAGTGATGGCACTGTGTTTCTTCGGGGCGGTGATTAATGCCCAATACTTTCCCACCCCCAAACACTATAAATACCCATCCCCCCCTCATTCCAAACCACACCACCACTTTATACTTCTTTCTCCCTCCATTTTTCACTCTAGTTTCGTTCTAAGTATGCTCTGTGGTTGCGGCTAAGTCCGATCTTCCACATCAGAAAGAATTACTAGAGTTTTTGTTTTGTTGTTTTGTCGATACTCTCGCTAGCTTTTCGGAAAAAAATGGACGAAGAGGCTTTGAGAGTACGTAAATTTATTTAATTCTTTTGTGATTTTTTTTAAATGGGTGCTAAAATTTAAATTGATTTGATTTCATATTTTTTTTATAGATGGGTGTTGAGATATACGATCCTAGATTGTATATCGATCCTGGCCCAAGGGATCGAAGGTATTTAACCGGGCAAGATCAACATCGCTCTCGTTCAATTTGGAACAATAATCCGGTAGACACACTAAAATTATTTCAATAGTTTTAAAGTTTTTATTTTGCTTTCTAAGTTTTTATTTTGCTTTCTATTGACTGACAATATTGTGTTTTTTGTTTTGTAGGAATCACTTATTCCCATCATTCATCGAGGGACATGTCGATTGCCCCGTTGGCATCCTCGACTGCAGCCCTATCTAGAGAGGGCGGGATTGCACAATTTGAGGCACTTTATGAGGCTTGATATTGACAACGATCTGCTGACGGCAATGGCAGAGCGATGGCGCCCTGAGCTGCATACCTTCCACTTTCCCGAGGGTGAAATGACGATCACCCTCAAAGATGTTGCCATCCTCACCGGGCTCCCGATCACCGGAGATGCCATCATCGACAACTCGAGAAAACCAGAAGATGGTTGGGGGCCATTGATTCAGGAACGTTTGGGGTTCAACATGCCGACCACCACGCCCGTCGAAGGGGTTGGGCATCCACCACTGAATGCGGGGCAAGTATCGATCCCGTGGCTTGTTAACCCCCATGTTGTACCAAAATGAACAACAAACGCCCTTTATTACAATCACTCAACAAGATTAAAACAAGAAGTCCAAATTAAACATCACAACAACGAAATGTCCTCAACAAGATTAAAACAAGGGAGTCCAACTTAAACATCACAACAACGAAAACTACTCAATAAGATTAAAACAAGGAAGTGAACAACAACATCAAGGTTGGTTCGGAATTGGCCCCGAATCTTGCTCTAGAGGTGGACCTGGGCAACGCCTCTTGTCATGACCCGGTTGTCTGCACTTTGAGCAACGCTTTGGACCCCGTCGGGCACGTTGTGATTGGTCCATTTCATTGTGAATCCTTTCGGTCCTAGGACGACCTTTGGTGCGCTTTAAGTGTAACGGTGGGATAATCAACTTCCCATTGTCTACAGGCCAATAAGCTTCATCCGGCAGGGGGCTAAAACTTGACGAGTAGGAGTTCCTGATCGCCTGTTCCGTGTAGTAAGGACTAACCAAACTGTAAGCGCTGAGGGTTATCGACTTAGCTACTGCCATTGCATGTGAACAAGGTACTCTTCTGTTTTGATACTTTTGGCATGTACATTCTCCGGTGCGCATTTCTACGTGTAGAGTAACAGATTGACGATTATGCCCACGTCTTCCTCCACCCCAAATACCTGTTTGCACAGCAAAAATACCTTCATTGCGGTTGAAAAGAACAACTCTGTGCTTACTTGATTTCTCTTCGATCTTCTGCATGCCATCAAATATATGCTTAGCTATTGAATGACCAGCACGCTCCCTCCCAATAGCAGCATCCCGTCTCTTCACAAACCACTCGTTTACCTTCCAGTATGTCATCTCAACTAGGACAGATACAGGCATTGCCCTAATGCCCTTGTAGACTCCATTTATGCTCTCGCCATGGTTGGTAGTTGCAATTCCGAATCTAGCACCGTTGTCCAAGTGAAATGTCCACATGTGCAGATCTTGACCTTCTGCCCATACTGCTCCCGCCCGGTGTATTTGACGGATCGTCTTCATCTTCTGCTCGTACTTTTTTGGTTGATGTGCAACCGCTACAAAACCGGAGAATTAATAATTAAGCCATAAGAAATTTCATTTGAACAATAAACCATGAACAAGCACTGAATTACATTACTACCTACACTCCACAATTGATCTCTTATGTCTTTCTTCTTGCCAAATTTGTGTTGGAAATTGGCTAGGAAGTGACGAATACACCAACGCCATGTCCATCCCCATTCGTCCGGGAAACCACGGACGGCGTGTTTAATCCCGGCATGTCAATCTGATAAAATTGTAATACCCATTCTTTGTGTGACGTGGGCGTGTAGCTGGTCAAAGAACCATGCCCAACTTAGGTTGTTCTCCCCTTCAACTAATGCAAATGCGAGTGGAAAAATACTTAAATTTCCATCAACCCCAGTGGCAATAAGAAGAGTTCCTTTATACTTCCCAGTAAGGAAAGTCCCATCAACCTGTTAAAAATGAATAATGAGTTAGTAAAAATTAAAATTAGTAAAGTAATGAAATAGTACAATATTTTGAGTCCGTAATATACCTGAATCACTGGCATGCAGAAGGGAAACCCGTCAATGCATGGCTTGAATGTCCAGAACAGACGATGAAACATCAACTCGTTCTGTACTCGAACTTGATCTTCAGTTTCTACGTTGTTGTACCAAGGCACGAAAACCGTCCCAGGGTTGGACTCCTCCATTGCGGACATTAGTCTGGGGAGTAAAGCATACGAGTCATCCCAATCACCGTAGACCTCAGCCATGGCCTTCTGCTTCCCATGCCACGCCTTCTTATACCTTATGGTGTAGGAGTGTCGATCCTTCACCTCCGCCATGATAGCTTTTATCTTGATATCTGGTTGTGCCTCGATAAGGTGCTTAATGGTTCTTGCCACTTTTTTTGCCTTCAGTTGCCGGTGATCCTGTGAAAGTATGGTTGAGGAGCAACTGTGGTTGTTCTCTACTGTCCGCATGACCCAGACGCCCTTTCTCTTCATATATGCAGCACGAAGTTGCCACATACAACCCTCTCCAGCATTCTTACAAATGACATGCAGTTGTCCCTTGTCAGAATATTTTACCTTCCATTCGAAGTTACGCCGCATGGCTTCTTAGCTAAAAGCGTCTTGCACATCGGCTTTCGAAGTGAACACCATACCCACTTCCAAATTAGCAGTCGGATTATACACAGGCATGGGCCGAAAGTCAGGGGCATCGTTCTGACCATATAAAAATTGATCAGGAACCTCTGTGTAGTAAGGCGTTGGTGCCTGACGGAACGCCACCTCACTGTCATCGATCTCGTCGATATCGTCCGTATCTTCCTCCTCACTGACTGATCTCAAATCTTCCTCACTTTCATCGTCACTGGAGGCGAATGGATAACTCGACTCAGGATGGTCATCGTTACCAGCATAACCAGCATCGCCTTCTTGGTCATGCGAAGTACGCCCAGATCGAAGGGTGTTTTCAATGTCACCCCACTCTGGACCCCAAGCAGGCCATTGATCACCGTCGGGGGGAACGATATCGACGGCAGTCTCACCACCATGTGGCAGGTATTCTTCCCACCCAACACCTCCTTCAGAACTACCTCCTCCGTAGTTGCTTGAAGTACCTCCCCAACCATAACCTCCGGCAGAAGAACCTGCTCCGTAGTTACTTGAACTACCACCCCAGCCATACCCTCCTGCAAAACCATCATCATAAGAATACTGGTGAGCATGAGTTTCACCGACCGGCTCGGTCTCGACATACACCTCTGCAAGCCGCACCCCATTCTCAGATATGAACTGTATCATCATGTTCGCGTCGTCATCATCATTTATGTCAACTTTTTCGTACATGACTCCGTCAGCACTCATGTTGGGATACCGGTAAGTAATTTGACGAACTCTCATTTGCCCGCCCGTACAAGTCCTTTCTGCACACCTGTCATGGAGTTCTTGCCACGAGAATCTCGACTCAATTGTAAGCATACTGGATTCGCCATTTTCATAGTCGATCCCAATGTTCGAGTTTGTCACCCGACCATTCCAATAAATAATAAGCCGAAACTTCTTAAATTTACCCATGTCTGCAATTTATAATAATTAAGTATAGTATATAATTAGTACATTATGGATACAAAAAACAATATCATCCAAAGCGATAATAAAATGCAACTAATTGATCTATTATGAGAAAACTAAACAAATTCATCTAAATTCATAACTAACTAACTAACATCTATCATATCATAATTAAACTAAATATATCATAACATATTTTCCAATAACCGCAATTCACTAAATACAGACATATAATTACTAACACATCAACATGTAAAAAATACATACTTATAACATACTCAATCCCGATCTATCATGAGAAAACTAAACAAATTAATCTAAATTCAGTAACTAACTAACATCTATCATATCATAATTAATCTAAATATATAATTCTAACATACCTAATTCTAACACATCATCAAAATGTAAACAATACATAATTCTAACATACCGAATCCCGACGAGTTTCTTGAGCAGTAAACTACGGAGGAACCAGCTGAGAAAACGACTAAGAAAACGATAATTTTTGTGTTGGAAAGTTGTAAGGCAGCAGGAGGGAAGTGGGCGTCAGTTTTTATAGGAAAAATTGAAAGCTAATCACCGCTTCAGTCAACAGTGGTGATAGCATCATCGCCTTAGTCAGCAGCGGTGATAGCTAGGTAGCTGTTACCTTCTTCTCCACCTACCAGGGCTATGTAAAACGTGGTAAATATCACCGTTTTGCACAACAGCGGTGAGGCAATCACTGTTGTTGACTGCAGCGGGGATGCCTTCCCTGTTGATGTCAAAAGCGGGGATATGTTCCCCGCCTTTGTCAAAAGCGGTGATAGGTTCCCCGCTTTTGTCCAAGGCGGTGATACGTTCCCCGCTTTTGTCTACGGCGGTGATACGTTCCCCGCTGCTTCACTGTTTTGGACGAAAGCGGTGATTAGTATCACTGTCTTTGTCCAAGACAGTGATGTTGAAACTGCTGTACTTTGGGAATTAGTTTTATAAGTACTGTATTTAGGGATTTTTTTTTTAATAATTGTTGTATTCTGGGATTTTTTCCACAAAATCAATTCACTATCTTCCATGCTCACTTTGAAATAGACCTAACACATTTATTTGGTTTTCGGTATCCACACTAGTCTGGATACCCCAATTGTTTGTTTTGCTGAGTTACAACCATAACTCATATGTCCTATACTTTGACAAGTAAAGCAAGTTGTAGTTTTCATTTTAGCTTCCTTAGCAATTCTCTTTTTACAATGCGCAATCTAATGTCCTTTCCGATGATAGTAAAAACTTTTTGTATTAGACACATTTGGATGTCTAAACTTCGGAATCTTATTATGAACTTGATTTGTATCTTTTCCTTTTACTAAGTTTTGCTTCGTCGAAATTGCTATTTTCTTTTAGATTCAACAATCTTAATTTCTAATTCAACATTCTTAGTCATGACACCATTCATTCTTATTTCCATAGCGATTTTTTCTTCTTTTAGTTGATCAATTCATGACTCTTTCTTAGTTTTTCGAATTCCGACTCAAGTTTAGAATGCTTGTTTTTTATATTTTCAAATTCAAGCTGAATATCTCAAATTGTTTCCATCATTTAATCGTTTTCCTATAATAGTTAGAGTAGCAGTTTGATGATCTTGCCTAGGACATGTCACAGTGATCATCACTTTCTCTGTTTGCCATATAAGCTCATGTTTGCCACTTGCATCACCTTCTTCATTATCATTTTCACTATAGCTCCAGATGGCTGCATAAGCTTTTTCACATCTCAGTTGAGGGCACTCGGCTTTTATGTGTCCAGTCCTTCCTCATTTGAAACATCCAAACTGTGCTAGAGTCTTCTCATCTCCTTTGATCTTCTTTATGAACCTTGAATCTGGTCGTGTTTGTTTGGCTTGATCCTTTCCTCAGTCACCTTTTTTGGATTGATTGATGAAAACTCCTTTTATTTATTCTTTTCATAGTCTCAGTAACTTGGACACATGTTTGCTCAGCATGGCTAGTTCATCATCTTCCATGTATTCTAGATTATTCATCTCCTCTTCCTGTGCAGTGACCTGGAAAACTATTTCTCCTCTTTCTTTTCTTGGTTCCTCATTCTCTTCTCTCTTCAATTTATCTTCATGAGTAACCAAGCATCCCATAAGCTCATTGAGGCTTAATTTGGTCAGATCCTTGAATTCATCAATCTTCGTAACCTTTGGTGTCCACCTCTTAGGAAGAGCCTAAAGAACTTTTCATACTAGATCAACACTAGCATACTCAACTTCCAGGTTTCTTAGGCTATTCACTATTGCAGTGAATCTATCATGCATTTCCTTAATTGTTTCATCCAGTTTCATCACAAAGGACTCAAATTCTTGTTTAAGACTATTGGTCGTAGAAATTTGACATGGGATGCACCTTCATGAGCGATACGCAGCTTATCCCATATCTCCTTTTTAGTCTTGCATCTAGAGATTTGGTGATATTCACCAAGACCCAAGGTGCAATCCATTAGATTGATTGCTTTTGAATTCAGTTGACAATTCTTCTTGTCTTTATCATACCATTTCCCATGAACCTCCTTCAATTCAAGTAGTCCGTCCATAACTATGTTCCATAGACCCGGACCAATTGATCCTATAAACAACTCCATGTGATTTCTCCAGTATCCATAGTTAACTCCTTCAAACCTTGGCGGTCGTGTTTGAGAAAATCCATCATCCATGAATATTCCACTCGTGTTGGCTATCCCCGAACCCATCTTCTTTAGAGGTGGTTAAACTTTGATCGATGGAGCCAAGCTCTGATACCACAATCAGTGTCTCGCAACAATCACAACGATCGATTTGATGCAATTTTACCAGTAGTATGCTCTTCTATTCCGATTTATCGTTAGTAGAATTTGTTTTCACACCTTAAGAAGCGAATCAGGCTGCCCATTGTGTGGCGCGCAATGCCTTACGCTATCCTGGTCTCACTACTATGTTGTTTGATTTCTCATATTTTGGTATGTTTTTAGTATAAGACGGAGCGGTAATCATTGTGACTTCCTTCACGTTTACCTAGTTATTCCGCAAGGATTACTTTGACAAAAAAAGTGAAGATTCTCAAATTCTTATAACATTACAAAAGTTGAATGACCAAAAAGGGAAGAACCTAATAAATAAGTGACCTAGAGTGGGTTTAAAGTTTAAACCCAGCGCTGTCTGCATTTAACTCCGCACCTTTCTTGTAGGCGATAGGAGTAGGACTTTGGGAAAGTCTGAAAGAAAGAAAGCGTTCTTGTTGTAGGTAATGACTGAAAGCGAGAATTCCGTGGGATCCAATTTACATTTTACAGGTATAAAAGGCGTTCCGAACGGTAAGCATAGCAGAAGGAAGGCGAGAAAAGAAGAAAACCCAACTGCTTCCCTGCCTGCCGCAGTCAATTACTCTTTGCATCAGAATCAAGAGAATCAGCCAACCCCACACCCTCCATTCTTCTTCTTCTTCCTCAAGTTTCCTCTCCTTTGTTTCTTCCTCAAGTCTCTCCGTTCTCTTCCCCACGTTCCCCCTCCTCTCTGTAAAGCCTGCGCAATTTTACCCGCAATAGCACTCAACTTCCTCCCCGCGCATTCATTCACCCTTCACCTTCCAATGGCCACCGAATCCCAATCCTCCTCCTTTATAACCAGACCCACTACCCTTTCTCTTCACACATTGCTCTGAAGAAACCCACATCGCTCCTAATCCTGTTCACTCCCCCTCCCTTCAATCCTTCTTTGATTTCCAGAGCTGGGTTCCATGGATTCCTCTGAATTGGTCAAGAACCACCGCCCCCTCCGCCGCCTGAGGTGCTCCGTCCAGCACTACGATTGGGGCAGAACCGGACGGGATTCCCTGGTCGGAAAGGTCTGTGCTTTGAATTCTGGCTCCGAGATCCAACTCAACAAGCCTTATGCTGAGTTCTGGATGGGGATCCATGCCTCCGGCCCCTCTTTCGTTGTCGGTAGTACAGGGATTGAGAATGGGAATGGGAATGGGAATGGCGCCGCTGTTGATTCCCACTCCCACTCCCACTCCGGCGCTGCGTTGAGTTTGAAAGACTGGATCGTTCAGAACCCTTCCGTCCTCGGTGATAAGGTTTTGGATAAGTGGGGGTCTGATCTCCCCTTCTTATTCAAGGTATGAATTCCAGCCCTCGCAATTCACTGCATTGCCTTTAGTGTCCAGGCAATTCCTGATTTAGCAGTTTTGATTTGTGAATTTTGTTTGAGTAGCTAGAACTTGTGTGAATTCGTTTTGGCTGTCATGATGTACTCCAAGTGTTTGATAATGTGACTGAACGGAAGTTCGTCTTTGGGCACACTAGTTCTGAAATCTCCCCTGCCCCTTGACAAGAATCAGCTTAATGGAGTCCCATTGATTCATTCAATTCTCCTTGGTTTCTCCAGATACTTTCTGTGGCAAAAGCACTTTCAATCCAGGCGCACCCTGATAAAGAATTGGCAAAGAAGCTCCATAAATTGCACCCAAATATTTACAAGGATGACAGCCACAAGCCTGAGATGGCTTTGGCCGTAACAGAGTTTGAGGCCCTTTGCGGTTTCGTCTCTTTTGGGGTATAGTTCCTTCATCTTCATCTCGATCCCTTTTTGTGCTCTTGTTCATCATCACTAAAGGGAATTCTTTGGAGTTAGCTGTTTTTCCTGTTTGTCGGTGGCATGGCACGTGATGGATCCATGACAAGCTACTTGCTTTCATGTGAATTCCTTTAGTGATCTAGGACAAACCCTATTGTATTATATTAAAATGGGATTTCCGCAAGGACCTGGAGAAGTCTCCTCTCCTTTTTTGGGTTTTCTAATTCTCTGCAATTTGGCTGGATCAGTATGATGAGTCTGAACAGTAGTTTACAGCTTGGCTGGCTACCACAGAATAATGAAGCTTCTATGTCTTGCATGCTTTTTCTTTTGGTTTAGGTGGGAAGCTTTTGACCTTGTTGGGAAGTCGCGTTTCTTTATTGCTTAATCTGGTTAGCCAGATGTGGCCCCACATATTGGAACATAGAGTTTCTATAAAAGCCTCCGGTAGCCATTGTTCTTTGCAAATGCACCTTCAGCAAAACTTAATTAGTTCCCATAACATTTCATTTTGAAGCTCGTATGATCATATAAGGCCTGGAATTAAGTATCTTTTCTCATTGTGCCACAGGAGCTTAAAGATGTCATCCGTTATATTCCAGAGGTTGTAGAACTGATTGACAGTAACGACACAAGCCAGCTATTGCATATCAATGATCAAGTGGAGGGCGAGAAGGTGAAATCAATACTTCGATCCATTTTCACCCAACTAATGTCAGCTAGCAAGGAGATGACAACTGAAGCAGTATCCAAGTTGAAAATCAGATTGCAGATGCAGAGCCAGGTTTGTTGCAATCTGCTGTCTCAAAACTATACGAAGGATTTTTGCCTAAACAATACCTTGTCTCTTGATCGATCCTACTTCCAAACCATGACGAGTCAAATATTATCCCTCTGTGTTTGCATCCTTCTAACCCCTAAGCTATAACAGGTGCGGCGGTTGACTGATAAAGAAAACCTGGTCTTGAAGTTGGAGAAGGAATATCCAAACGATATTGGTGTCATATCAGCATTTTTTCTTAATCATATCAAACTTAATCCTGGTGAAGCTTTGTATCTTGGTGCAAATGAACCGCACGCATATATCTCGGGTGAGTGCATTGAAGTCATGGCAACATCAGACAATGTCGTGAGGGCTGGCCTTACTCCCAAGCATCGGGATGTCCAAACTCTCTGTTCTATGCTCACCTACAAACAGGTAAAAACCTGAATACTATTGACCATCGATTCGTCAACTCAATAGTGTTAACTCGTTTTGAACGATATTCATTGATTGGTGTTTCTGATCTGCCGAATATAGGGGTTCCCAGAAATCCTGAAAGGGTTTCCATTGACTCCATACATCACAAGGTACCTACCTCCATTTGATGAATTCGAGATGGACCGTTGCTTCCTCCCAAAAGGTGCATCCACTGTGTTTCCGGCGGTGGAGGGCCCCTCGATTTTTGTGGTAATAGGTGGAGAGGGAGCAATGCAGGCAGGGTCATCATCTTCTAGAGATGTAGTGATGGAGGGTGATGTGATATTTGCCCCTGCGGGTACCCAGATCAACGTGAAGACGGTATCAGAGTTGCATATGTATAGAGCCGGAGTAAATAGTAGATTCCTCCAAACACTCTGAAAGATTCGGCAGTGGGGTTGAATTCAGAGACACGATACACAGCAAAGTTAACTTCCAGTTTTCTTTTTAGGGTGAAAGAGTAGAGTTTTACTTAGTGGTTAACTTTGGTTTTGCTCGATTGACTACAGGCGGAACCTTTATACCTTTTAGTTACCATGTACTATAATAGATGCTAGCGTATGTAAATGAAGTGGAAAAGTATAGCAAAAGTTCTAGTGGCAAGGAAATTCAACACCATTTTGATGCTGTGGACTATGTGAAGTCTTCGATTCCTTCATAGTAACCATTTCGTTGCAGAAGAGTTCGAAGGTTCACGGTTGTTTCATGAAGAGTTCAACAGTTGTTACTTCCGGGGACCTTCAAATAATCCTGCTATGGACGACAATGTTAAAGAAAAGGCAAAATCCACTTGTATAGCCAAAACTTTGACGGTTTGGCCAAATATAGCCACTTTTGGCGAAATACCAAAAATAGCCAATTTCGTCCAATTGTTTGACGGTGTTAACCAAATAGCTGACTGGACTAACGGAGAGGCTGAGTTGGCCACAATTATTCAATTAAAGTGTGAGGTGGAAAATAAAAATAAATTATTTTTTTTATTTTTCCTCTCCCATCTCTTTTCCTTCCCCTTCCCAGCGGAATCTCTCCCATCTCTTTTCCTACCCAGAACAAACCCATTAATCAATCTTCCATAACCCTTAATTATTGAGATCAATCAATCCATCCCTACCATCTTCTGTCGTCGATACCCCCAGCCCACCACCACCATTTTGAAACCCCACACCCTTCCGGCTGTTGCTTGGATTGTCGTCGCGCCGTAGCTCTTGTCCGCTATGACCCTGCCCTCAATCTCTCTTGGTCGAGAGAATTAGAGAAGAAGGATTCAGCCGCAACCGCCCTTCATCTCTCGATCTCGCCGCCGCCACCGCCCTTCATCTCTCGATCTAGCCGCTGCCGCCCTTCATCTCTCGATCTCGCCGCCGCCGCCTCCCTTCATCTCTTGATCTAGCCGCTGCCGCCCTTCATCTCTCGATATCGCTACCACCGCCTCCCTTCATCTCTCGATCTCGCCGTCGTCAAATTGGAAGCGGTCGTCATCAATCATAGCCGGATCTGAGATGGAACACTTTGTTGTGTGAGTCTCGTCGTTTGCGTAGTTAGCGGTGTCGAGATCGTCAATCATAAACCTATTTCCCCAAATTCTAGGGTTGAGGCGAAACCCAGACTCCTAGAGATGCCCGACCAGTCGACTGGAGCGATTGAAGGGATGGGCTGGAGCAACGATCAGATGGGTGGGTGCGGGGGATTCGGGGGAGAAGTTTGGTGAAGAAGTGCGGGGGAATCGGGGAATCGACAAAGGTTGGTTCGTGAAGAGGGAGAAGGCAACAGACAAAGAAGGCAGGGAGGAAAGAGAAGATAATTATTTTTTCTAAATGAAAAATAAATATAAGATATATTAGAAGTGAATTGTGACATGACATCTGTGTGGCAATTAAGGCTGAGTTGTCGCTGAAGTGGCAATAATTTGGCATTCTCATCAGCATACCGTTAACCTAACAGACATAATTTTGTAACATTGTTAAAGTTTTGGACGGAAATGGCTATTATTGTCATCAAACATTCAAAATTCTGGCTATTATTGGTATTTCTCCAAAAGTGGCTATTATTGTCACAAACGTTAAAGTTTTGGCTATACAGATGGATTTTGCCTAAAGAAAAAGGTATTTGTTTTGTTGACAAACACAAATCCTTTTGTTCCAACCACAACCCCGGAGTCCGGAGCTTACGCGGCTATCGTTCTTTATTATTAATAATAACGTCCGGGTGCTTACGGGGCTATCGTTCTTTATTATTATTATTATTATTATTATTATTATTATTATTATTATCAATTTTGTAAATTTGTTGTTTGGCCATGCCATGGAGGTTTATCTTGAACATAAAAAAGGATAAATACAATATATTAGCCATAATTATTGTAAAGTAGGGAATTATAGCAACAACTATAGTATTACAAATTATTAGCTAATCGTTAGTTGCTCGTTAATGACCCGTTAGTTTGTCTGTCCGCAATACTGAGCTGGCCTAAAAAAGCTGAGGTGGATAGCAATGGCGGACCCATGATTATTGAAGAGGGGTGTCGCCTATAAAAAATTATAATAAATAAAATAATTTAATATAAATTTAATATAAATTACTTGAAATTCATTTATAAGTTCACAACGTCATGTTTACTATGAATTATGATAATTTTTCATATCCTGAGATTTATTTTATAATACATTCATTGTTTATGTTGCAAATCAAACATTTTTCGATATACACAACTACATAATCATTTATAAATTAGTCACCCAACCAAAGAGAATCGACCTACGTCTGAAATCAAATTAAGTTAAAATAAATTAGTTTGCTACCAATCGGCTATTTTAGAAAAAATAAAGTATGCCTAAAGTAATATCATTAGCATTTTTTCTCTAGTTCTATCAATTAACCAAAATCAAACCACAATCTCCCATAAATATACGCAATTCACCTATTAACTACAAATCGACAAGTTAAATTGGGTTGTGGGTTACATAAAACAAGCATGTTTATTTGATTTTACTTATTATTTTTAATTACTAATTATGATGAATAACTTTATAACATTAAAACTATTTTCGTATAATGAAAGTGTGTCGCTTATAATTATTAGAGAAGTGTTGGAAGTCCCAAATTAAAAAAATTTGTACCGAAAAATGGAGGTCCTTCACAAAATTTTGGGGCAGAGGGGTGTCGTCCGACACCCCTCCCCTTGCCCTAGGTCCGCCCCCGGTGGATAGACAACATGGTCGTCTACGTGGCAATACCTAAGTTATGAAAAATAATAAGTGTAAAAAAAAATTTACTTTACCTCCCTCACTCACATCCACTCACCACCCGCCTTATCCTCTCCCTCATCTTCTCGTATGTCTCTCCTTCGTCTTTGAAGATCATCTGCGAACTTCGCCGGCGAGGATTCTCTACACGTCTTGTAGGGAAGGCGGCGAGACTGCCATCGCCTGTGAAAGTCCCCCTCTCCCACACTTTGTCATACGAAATCGCGCCACTAGAAGTCTAATCAAAGCGGGAAAAGATAGTCACGATCTGGGTTCTGTCGAAGCGGTGAGGGCTTTGGGTAAATAAAGCGAAGTCGGAAGTGACGATTTGTTCAACAAAGGTAAGGTGGCTCTGACTGGTTTCTGTCGAAATCTTACCAGAAAACTCGCAATTAGGTTTTGAATGTTTAGGGTTTCTCCAATTCGAACATTACCCATTTTGATGGTTTAGGGTTTCGCGAATCTAGCAATCTTCTCCACTATTTATAGTTTGATTCTTCGAAACTGTTAGTGCAAGTTGGTTGTGAGGACCACAGTGGGACCTTTACAGATTGTTCACGAAATTGTCCTTGTATGAACATGAAAGAAACTGGAATTAGTGGATATAATTGTAAATTGCAGTGGTAAGGAATCCAAATTTGCCCATCATTTAACAGCCAACACATGTGAATGGGAATATTTTACTGTTGCTCGCTGCATCCTTCGAAAAAGCCCTCCTTTTTGGTTGTTGGCTAAACTTTCTTATCTTTTACTGTGCTTGTTTGCTTCCAATCACAATATCAACATGTATTTTACTTGACCATGCCGATGATTGAATATATGGAGATTGATTACCATCACGGAGGCGAGATGGACTTCTCTAGTGATGCACCATGATATATGTGGGGTTTTTGTGAGAAGTTCAACGTTGATGTTGATCAAGTGTCATATTTTGGACTTGTAGCATTGGCTACGGTGCACTTGGACAATGAAGGTGTTCCAAAGATTTGGTACCTGACCTCGGGCTCTATTCATCTTGTCCTAAACAGTATATAACTTTGTCACATTGTTGTGAAACAATTTAGCTTTGAATGAACAAACACTCTTCAAACTTTGTTCTAGTAATTGCAATGACTTAACAAAGTTTCATATTAGGAAACAATACTGAAATGGAACTACATTTGTCTTCTACATACTGCTACACCACTCAAATTCCCTGGAATCTACAAAATACAGCATAAGCTTTGACACCAAATATACAGAAGATCATGTTTGTTATCCTGCTGTCAAGACTTTGGATAACAGTGCTCATTCTACTCAACTCGAAAATCATCCTTGCATGAGCTTCTCTAGTTCTAATCAACTCTTCTAACAGCTTGCGATTGCTTGCTTCCACTGCCATAAGTTTTGCAATGATTCCACCCTTCTCATTGTCATGTGCAGACCACACTGATGCATTCCTTCTCATATATGTGTCCACCAATAGGAAGAATCGGCAATCATCCGTCTACAAATGAAAAGAAAGCTATTACTAAGATGATACATATGTATACAAACAACGCAACGTCACAAACTAATTGAATACCTTCCAATATGAACATCAATATAACTGCTTCCTAGATTCCTACTAGTACCGGACTTGTTCACGATGCAAGAATTGTTATGTTCGCATAGAGGCCCGACAACGTCATTTGTGTTGGCCGAACCAGAAGAGCCATCCAATGCAGACATGATTCTTCTTACTAACTACAAACATCCCATTTGAAAACCAAAATCCAGTTTCAACACCTTCCTTTACAATCTACAACCTATTTCGAACCAGAAGATGGAAAGAGGCAAGGTTAATACAACTTACCCTCGTGATTTGAAGACAAAGGTTCCTTCAATTGCTTGCCGCCGAGACAATGGATGGGGAAGAAGGGGCGAAACAAGGGGGAAGGTTGCAGAACCGGCGGGAAGCGACTGCGGTGACGGTAGCAATGGTGGCGAACTCCTCTCACTTCGTGTCGTCGCTGCACTGTCCTAGCTCGTTAGCCAGCCTAGGTTTTAGGAGAAAGCTTTCAATTGATAAAGGGTGAAAAGTGGTAAAAAAAATTAAGAAAATAAAAAGTTAATAGTAATCCAACGTGGAATCCTTCATGGCGTCTGACGTGGCCAGCTCCGTTACAAAAATCGACATGTGGCATTTCCCCGTCTGATTTTCGAGCCGAATAGCCTCAATTTCGGTTTTGGTCTGTTTTTGTTTGGTTTGATTCGGGTTTACCGAACTGTATGCCCACCCTGGACGATGATATTGGGTCGTTGGGCTAATATAATCATCTCTTTTGAACTCCACCGATTCGATGGCTAGCCTAATCTTTTTGCCTATGAATGAGATGAATGTAGTGATGGCAATTTAAACCCGCCCCGCGGTAGCGTGGGGCGGGGCATGGGTATCTACTTTCGACCTGCCTTGCCCCGTCCCGTTCTTGGCCCATTCTACCTCACTTTCTTACAATATATATACATATTTCTTTTATTTTGACTTTTTTTCCAACTAGTTAGAGTCGAACTTTCAACTGGTTAGACTTAATTATTTATTATGATATTATTATTTTTCATTCATAAAGTGTTTTCCTCTTTATTTTATTGTAAAAAGCAAAATTTGCGTGTGTTTTTTCCAAATAACATGTAACTGTGGATCGACTCGTCCCATCCGTACCTATGCAGGTTTTACCCGCTCCAACCCATAATAGCATGGGGCGGAATATGGATATTGAGATAGCCGGCCTACCCATCGACTGGATGAATGTAGAAAGAGAACACAACCTTACGTAATAGCTCCCAAAGACCACGATTTGACCGTCGAAATATTTTCTTCCCGGAGGAGAAATCGTCGTTGCTGTACCCTTGCGTGAATGCTCACCAAGCTCGAAACAATAGCTAGGGGCCTGAAGCTCAGCAGGAGGGAGAGAAGGAGGGAGCTCGTATTTCCTTTTCGCGTTAAAAATTAGAAGATCGGCACCGTCATTTTGGTGTCTCAGCCTGAGGGGAAGTGGAAAGATGATGTCTCCAAAACCAATCGGTGATGATCGAGGATCTCCCAATTTCAGGTGCGCCATTTCTGTAAACCTAACATTTCAGTTTGGTTTCTGGGAAAATGAAGAAAGAAACTAGTGTCTGAATGGTGGATTGAATATTTGTAGTCTCTTCTCTGCGTAAATGTTGAAGAGGGTCGATATCAATCGAGTCCTTCGGGCTGATACCTGCTGTATTCTAGTCGAGGAAAATGTATGGTTGGATGAGTTCCATTCTTCCATTTCTCTGCTTTCACTTCTATTTTCTCCAAGTGATCATACAATGAAGTACAAGGGCAATGCAGGAGGCTGTAGTGGGATATCCCCTATTTGCAATGTGCTAAACTAAGCTTGGACATGGTTTTCCCTTGCAAATTAGGAGATTTGCTCATTTGTTTGCGGACTGTTTCTTAGTTTAGATTAGGTCTAATAAAGTTCACGGAGGCTGATGGAGTGCTTTAGTGCTATAATGGAGAGATATTCATTTTGAGTAGCCTTAGGGCGAAAGGTCTCTTTAGATGCTCCGATTTACATAAACGAGAGAAGAATGCACACGATGAGGTCGTAGAAGCTCATCCCTAATAAGTTTCTTAGTTCTTACAGTTTGGACTTTAATCTTGAACTTAAATAAGTATTTAGATATTGTACCTTTGTGTAACACAACCTTCCATCTTTTTTTCCCCCACTCGCTCTGCTGTAGGCACACTCCCTTGCAGATAATACATGTAATTGGCAACTTTTTTAGAATATGGTCGGTGTACTCCATGTACCGCTATTTGACTCAGACTGGAGCATCTGTGGGTCTTTTCATATTTTGCTGCCTTCTACCGTCATCATTGTTGTTTCTGGCTATGCAAAGGCCTTGGAAGGGAAGGCCTCTCTCTAGTCAACAGGTTAGGATGAAACCAATATATTTTTAATCAAACTTAAAATATTTGAAAGTTGTTTGTTATCTAATCTGGTATTTGCTACATTTTCCAGGTTGTGCCTTCTATCATCAATGGTGTCATAACAGCTTTGTATTTCAGTATGTGGGGGAAGGGCCTCAAGTCATGTGGCCCAGTGCGGTAGGTTTTTGCATCTCAAACATTTTGATTGTGTCTTTAGAATTATCAACTGCTTTTCCGGTTTAGAACCTTAGGGAGCTTTAGAACCAACTAAATCTTGGTTTTGGTTTCTAGAACCATCTTGGCAGAGTATGCCGGTGCTGTTCTTGGTGTATTATCAGCAGCATTGTATGGACAGGGTAAACATTTATGGAAAAAGGTACTTCTCTTTACCCTGGTGTTCTTGGGTTAGGAGTTTAAAAATGCATTTGATGTAACTCAATAGAAAAGGCTTTATAGGTGTTGTAGAGTGGATTTGTAAATCAGTCTGTTCCTCTTGGGCAAAGAAGAGTGGATTTGTTTCTACTATGCCATTTGGTTCTGCTTTCATACTAGTTCAAAATAATTCAGTTAGTCTCACTTTTTCCTTCCAAGATCACTTATGGTAAATCCAGTTATAGAGATAACTGGATTATGACTTGGAACTGCAGATCTGATTTTTTATGCTGAAAATCGTTATTTTTCTACCTCATAGTCTTTTCTTTCTTACATTGCTTCTAGTGAATCATTTCATTGTCACTGGAGTGCCCTTGTGAATGGCTTTCATGTTTTAGTAAAGTGTCAAAATGGAAAAGAGAATTAAAATTTGGCTATTATTTCTACTCATGCTTTGCTAATGATGAATATTTGGGGTTGGTTGGGGGGGGGGGGGGGGGGGGGGGGGGGGTGCGGTGATAGTGAACTGGGATTAGGAAGCAAAAGATATGGAATTAAAAGTACAAAAATATAGGAATTCACTATTCGTTGTTGATATACATCATAGAGTAGCTGATATACATCATAAATTTGTTATTGTACATAATATTTTCCTCGGTACTTTCTTGGTCATGTGAGATTTGCTGGTAGGATCTTGTTTTCCATCACCTAATCACTAGTTGACTGAGAAGATGGGCTAACTTCATGTCTGTTTATAAAGCAGAATAGGAAATAAGTGCACTGCCAATCAATTTAATCTGTACTAAATGTCATCTAGAATTTCTTGCTTTATGAAACTTTTTGAATGCGTTACACTGAAGCTGATAGGGAGCACATTTTATTCCTTTTCTACCGAATGATTTTGTTGAATACTCATATGTAGATGTCATTGAATATCAAGCAGGATTCAATTAATTTGTTGTCATTGTTCCTTTTTTCTTGCAGATATATCTGTAACAGTATTTTTGTGGAATGACATGGGTTTTCACTTATGATCGTCTGCATAGATAAATAAGTCAGAAGATTGTATGTGACTGTAATACTTCCTTTTTCTGTGTACTAGGTTGGAGGACTTGTTGCAATGATGCTGTCTTTCTACTTGCTGTCTCGAGGGTGGGCCATGGCCACATATTCACCTTTTGATATCCTTTGCCACTCAGTTCCTAGTTTCTAGTGGGTTTATGTTTGTTAGATTTGATAAATATACGCATTACTTCTCCTATTTCTTTGGGTCATTCTTTCATGGTAAGGATTTCCTGCAAGTGCTTCTTGTGAGGAAATGTATTGTTGCCTTCACTTAAACTTACGATCCAAAGAAAACCTTGATACAGAAGCTCATCCGGAAGAAATCTTGGGTATGAAAGACATGATAGTTCCAATTATTGCTGGAATCTTATCAGCTTTAAGAAGGGTGATTGCACGACGTGTTTCACTCAAGGTGTCTCTTCATCTCCTTTCTTGCCGTTGGCTCTGCTATTGATACTGATTTGCTTGATAAATGAACGCCGTTGCTTACTTCACTGATTATTTATTTTCAGAATCAACTGAAAAGAAGGCTGCATGCTGTAACCATAACCTCTGCAACATGTTTCCTTTTTCCCGTGGCTATGTGGGACTTCATCACAGTAAGTGATGATACACGGATTTAGAAACTCTTAATCGTGAAAAAGCATATTACTAGCACCATGGTCAGACAGACACCAGCTTTTCTTTTGAATTTCGGGCAGTTTACTTCATTTTGGTCTCTAAATGGAAGGATTGCTAGTGAGTTCTCACTCGTTGTGTTCTTATAACTGGAGTATTACAGGGATCAACTTCTGGTAGTACAAGTCAACTTCCATTTTCGGCTTGGGCATTCGGGAGCTTTATTCTTTTTGGAGTTATCTTGATATTCTACGTTGACAGCATAGCAGAAGAAAGGTAGTGTATCATTTGTCATAATTACTAGGTTCCTTTTTTTCCTCATGTTCTCTTCTCTGAATCCATCATCATGTATAGTGATTATGTCCTCCATCCACACTAGCTACTCTTATCATATAAGCTGGTCAGGGCTTTTTATGTTACTCTTGGATTTATTTACTACCTCTCGGAATATATTACTTCTTATGTTCTCCATTCTCATTTTGTGTAAAGGCTTTTCCACCGGAGAAGTATCTCAAGATGGCTATATTAGTGGATCATTTATTTCAGAATGACAAAGAAGAAGTGTATGTTTGCAGGCTGCATATGGTTTTCTCTTCTCCAAGGCACTTAATGGTGGCCGGAGGTTGTATGATTATCCTGGAGATTTTCTATCAGATGGACTTCTCTCTGCCCGGCTTCTTAATCTGCTGCTTAATTCTGGGTTTCGGTAAGTATGCTGATTATTATTCTCCTCTCTTTTTTGGTAGGAGGATCTCTCTAGCGTGAAGTGTAAAGTAGTAGAGTAGAGCAAAGATTGACAATAGAACAAGAAAGCTTGCTGAACAACTTCGCACCCATATGCAATGTTCGATCATCATTATAAGAATCCTTGTTTAGAATCAGAGGTTGAATCTTGTTAGGTAGGTAATATGGTATTTACGAAGTTGATTGTTGCAAAATTCCTCAAACTGTTTTGATCTGGATGTATCTCCATTGTTGCTTTATAGGGCTGGCTGGTTACTCGGGTATTGTAGAAGTAAAAGAATTCTTAGTTTCCTTAATAACACTGAATCTAGCACTTTTCAACTTATTAGCAAAAACCAAAATGAAAAAACAAGCATGTTTGTGTGATTGCTAAAATGGCGTGTGTAGGGTATATTGGCTGAACTAAGGTTTGTGATTCTCTTATCTTTTCTGTTTGGTGAAGGGATCTACGAGGCAACAGCTTTGGAGCGTAGTAAGAAGGGAACTGAACACTTTGATCCGTCAGAAGAAATGTTCGAGGACATGAAGTCTCCTCTCCCAACTTGAAAACTCAACTTCCGAGTAGTCGCCTTAGAGAAGAACAGAATCACCATGAGCAAGCATTTCACAGAATTGGGAGTTGAGAGATATTTTTTTGCTGAATCTCGGGGGCAGGGGGCAAATGACCAGAAAGGAAGGAAGGAGTTAGGTTAGAATCAGAATCCAAACGTTTTGCTAACCCACATCTGATTGTTCCTTAAAAGCTTGTATATAGCTCATGTAGATCTGAGTTTGAAGGAAGCCAAAGCCTTGAAAGTAGCTGTACCATTGATGACCTTGTGTAATACACCAACTTTGCTGGCTCATGGAAGGATTCTTACGGTGATCAAGTTGTATTTTCATTTACACAGCTCATCTGCGTTTAAACTTTAAAAATGAGAAGCTCATCTTTCATGTTGCCTTGGAATTATGTTTAACAATCCATTTACCTTTTCGCGTTGAAACATAATATACACAAATCAAATTTTAGGTATTCTTGAAATTTAACGACTGCTTTCCATCTAGGGACTGATTTTAATTTGAGAGAGAAATACTGATTTTGTATTCTGAGGGTCTGCATGGCCTTTCGTGTTAATTACTAATAGAAACATGTAGGGTTATAGGTATAATATGCCTCTTTACTATGACGTTTTATCAAACATGCCCATCTACTATTTTTTACATCGAATATGCCCATGTACTTTGAAAAACTTATCAAACATGCCCTTCTGTTAAAATTTCGATTGAAAAAATCGTCAATCATTGTTGAATTGAGATTTAGACGACCCGACATCGATAAATGGGAGGGAAAATGTCAGTTTTGTCCCCTGTTTTATTTCTTTGGGTTTTATCAAAGTGAAATTATTTGAATGATTTTACTATACAAAAGAAACCAAAAAAATTTTAAAGTGAATTTATTAGGGATATTTTAGTCATTTGTGTCGCCCAAACTAAATTTCGGCTTTGGTTAACTGTTTTTAGATGAAAATTTTAACAAAATGACATGTTTGGTCATTTTTACAAAGCACAGGGGCATTGTTTGATGTAAAAAATAGTAGAGGGGCATGTTTGATAAAATGTCATAGTAGAGGGGCATATTCTAATTATAATTCAAACATGTAAAATACATATCATCAACTTGTCGTTGTAGTATAGTGGTAAGTATTCCCGCCTGTCACGCGGGTGACCCGGGTTCGATCCCCGGCAACGGCGTTTTTTGTTAAATTCTGTTTTCCAGTTTTGTTAATTATAATTTTCTGTTTTTTCTGTTTAAACGTGACCATTTCCAGTGTTAAGTACAGCCAAAGAACAGATGCAAACGCTACATAAATCATACGATCTTGAACCCAAATTTTCATTCAAACTGGCAAACGCAACATATAACATCACTCAAACAAAGGAGCTGTCGTTTCAACACAAAACAAAACAGACTGCTTTCTAATGCAGCAACGAACAAATAGCTAGCAGTTAGCATTTTGTACTACTCTGCAGCACCCTTGGTTAGTGCTTTAGTGGCGAAGTGAGTCAGGATCCCCACGGGACAGAAGAGCAGGCAAAGTGAAACCGAGTGCCGGGTCTCGATTCCATTCTGCACTCCATCATTATACACCTGCCTGCATTCATATATAAATTCATTTGTTGATCCTCTTTTCATGAATTATGATCCTCATTACTCCCTGTGAGTAAGACACGCAGCAAAGGGGAATAGAAAGAACAGAAAGCGGAAGTGGTAACCTGGCAGCAAAGAGGTCCACTGCGAGAAGATGAATCCAGGCTGAAGCTAATGTCATCTCGTTGGAGAACATCTTTGCTATACCGGGCAGCTGAAAAGAGTTCAGAAACAAGATCAAAACTTTAGAGAGATAACTGCTAGGATTCTTTCCTTCTTTTGCTTGAAACATTCCCAGTGGTGATCATAATATACGGACCTCAGGTAGCCAGTATTTACTGGCAAACATCAGCTGCAGAGTATCAGGTGTCCATGAAAGGTACAGTAGATAAGCATAAAGAAGCCCCAGCACTACGTAAGGTATGCTACTTTCGACCGACTTCCTCGTCTGCATTCCCAACAATTACCCATTTCCATCAACTTCACATCCCAGAAAGCATGAGAAATAGGAGACCAGAAAGAGAATTGAGGGCATACTAGTTGTGCTTTTGGTGCTACAACCATAAGGGTGTAGAATGGGAGAACAGCAGCCGTTCCCAATGTAAACACATTGTTTGCAATCTGAGAATTTGTCCACCCTGTGATACCAATCAATAAGTACAATATATGTAAGTTATACAAATTAATACAAGGACATGATGCAGGTAAAAATTAGTAAGAAGCAATTTGACGAGCGAGTGCAATGTGGAGAAAGGGAATTACACGAGGCATATACTGTGGACGAGCTTTTCTGGGAAACAAAGAGTCTGGCTAGTTTTGGTTGAATGACGATTCTTGAACCGCCCACAAAAGTCCAGTTCCTAATTATGTTGTCTCCAACACTTGCAAGCCTCTGCCCGAAAAGTTCAGTGTTCTTACTGTTGAGTGAAGATGACAGTGCGTTTGGTTTGTGAAGTGCCCTGAGAGAAGTCAATCTCACAGCCTGTTGCTTTGAGCAATCAATCTACACAAGTTTGTGAAACGAACATGAGAGGGAAGGGAACCCAGATGAGCGCATAAATATGGTCCTTTACCTTGTGGTCACTCTCAACTTGAAGTAATTAATAAGACTAGCATAGAAAAGAGAGCAGCTAGACTAATTTTTCAGGGGGAAAAAATTAGCAGACTGATTTGATTGCACATATTAAACCTGCAACCATTCGTGAAAATGACAAACAAGGCCAAAAAATGTGGATGATCAAGTAGGTGAGTTTGCAGCTCAAAGAAGCGCCATGGCCCAATTTGAAGGGTAGAAATTAGCAAAATCACTGCAACATCCAAACACCAAATTAAGCTACAAACCACCAACAAGATGATTGAATTGCGTTGAGAACCCAACTAGCTCTCAATTTCAATGGTGAACAATAGTTGGCACCCACATTAATTAAATCATTAGACGAAAAGTAAAAGAGTACTGAGATAGGTGGCTAAACACACACAGAAGATCAAACCCAAAAGAGCAAATAGGGAAAAGATTGGAGCTTGAAGGCAAAACAAAAGAAATTTGGTCACAGAACCTTGCGAGGGATTGGAGGAGGGAGAGAAAAGCGAGCAGAGAATGCCATTATTGGTGGAAGCCAAAGAAACCCAGCAGCAACAATAGAATGAAGCAATCTTCATTACCCTGAGTATAATAATAACAACACCACAAACAAGAGAGTAAATATGAGTACAGGAAATGGAAATGCAGAAGAAAGGAAAAAGAAGTAATGGGTTGGGGGAAGGTGAGGTGATGGTAAGCTGAGTTGCCACTAATTTGGAGAGACAGGGAGGCAAGTGCTGAGGAAGGAAAGGAAGGTGGAAAAAGGTAAACAAAGAAAGATGATGGTGGTGGTGGTGGAGAAAGAAAGGGTTGAATAATTGAAATAGAAAGGAAGTGCGATGATGGGCACTGTTTTGCGTTGGCCACTCACTCGAACTGAAACAAGGAAATGGCGCAACTTTGGGGGAAGAAGAGGAAGACATGACCGGCCCCTGAGGAAAGCAGCCATCAATTTTATCCATCTCCGGAATAAAAGCTGTTGCTGCCGTAACCTATTCCCTGATCTTGATGGTGGGGGGTCCACTGCCCAAGTACTACCCACTTGCAAGTTGCATGCTATTGCTAACCGCTTCTTCTTTTAATTTCAGACAAGTACAAAGGAGCTTGACGCTTGAAACGCTTCGTATACGGCGTGCTGCTACTCTGTAGGTAGGGCTGGAAGTTTGGTACCGATATTTGGTATATACTGAATACCGTAGTGAATTTGTCTATATTTGGTATTATCAAATACATGAATTATTTTGTGGGATTGGGATTGAGATTGAGTTTCAATTGTTATTCGGTATTAGGGATTACGGGATTGGGATCGGTATATACCGAAATACCGATCAATACCGAAATATAAGCTAATGTGTATTTTATTATCTCAACTAGACTCTCTCATTCACTACTATGCGACCCTCAACCACCAATAGTGTCATTTAATTATACATAGATCATTACATCACTATTTCACACTAGTATTAGTCGTCTCTCAACCTCAAATTCATCAAATTAAAGATTACTAATTATAAAAACTTGAGATGTTAGCTCTAGGCAACTCAAGACTCTTTGTTTAGTCTCTTTGCCCTAAATTAAATAATAAAATCTAATTTATATATTTAATTATTAATAGCAAAGATAATTAATTTTGTATTTGATAATACCGATTGGGATATCGAGGTACCGATTGGGATACCGAAATATTTAGGGATTGGGATTGGAATACCGAAATTATTTAGGGATTGGGATTGGGATTGATTTCAGGGTGTAATTCGGTATTCGGGATTTCGGTATTTGGTATTGGGATACCGATACCGTACCGATTTCCACCTTATTCCAATACTAAATATAGAAATTCTGAATATCGAATTACATCATAAAGTCAATCACAATCTCAATCCCTAAATAATTTCGGTATCCCAATTCCAATTCCTAAATATTTCGGTATCCCAATCGGTATTATAGAATACGAAATTAATTACCTTTGCAATAATAATGAAATATATAAATTAGATATTATTGTTTAATTTAGGGGAAAATTACTAAGCAAAGAGTCTTGAATTAGGATATTATTAAGGAGAATGGAGGAGGGGAGACATCTCAAGTTCTTGTCATTGGTAATCTTTAATTTGACGAATTGGAGGTTGAGAGACGACGATTAATAATGATGGAATGATCTGTGTTTAATTAAATGACACTCCTGGTGGTCGAGGGTCATGCAGTAGCGAATGAGAGAGTCTAGTTGATAAGATAAAATACACACTAGCTTATATTTCGATATTGATCGGTATTTTGGTATATACTGATTCCAATCCCGTAATCTCTAATACCGAATAACAATTGAAATTCAATCTCAATCCCAGTCCCAAAAAATCATACGTGTATTCGGTAATACCAAATATAGACATTCGATACGATATTCCGTATATCCCAAATAGCAGTATCAAACTTCCGGCCCTACTGCTATGTACAATGCACTGCACAATGCACATGCTCCTTTGGTCTACTTTGGTGTTAGTATAGTTGGCGGAGATGGCGAAGGCCCATTACCACTTAGGCCACAGCCCTACGGCTACTTGCTGGCCCACTATAATGCTCCTTTATATTGAATTTATTATATATTTTTGGGTCATCTCCGTAACAAAGGATTCCGGCGGTCTGGGCGATGTTCACGATTGGTTGGGGAGTTCATGCTCATTTAGTCATTTTTGTCCTTGTCCGATGAGAAACCTCATGGTTTCAGTGTAAAAGTCATGGCCAGACCGTGAGATCAACACTAAATCGTGATTCCGACACAAAATGATGAGTGTTGGGTCAATCAACTTCAAGGCTATGTAAAATGTTATAGGCTGAGGCCGTGACAATTATATTCAAGTCGTGAGGTTTGCTATCAATCCGAAAATTTCTATGCATCTCGTAGGTTAGTGCAAATGTCACGGCCAAGAGACCGTGAACATTGCATTAAAACTGTCAACTCTGCACAGTTTCATGACTTCGTCAATTTTTGAACCTGATTGACTTGTGCGTGCTCGAAACTCGAACACAACACATTTAATGACCAAATGAAGGTGAAATATTGAATTTAACACACAAAATAAGAAAAAGAAACACAAACCTACGTTGTGTTGCCTCCCAACAAGCTCTACTTTTTATATCTTTAACTAGACACAATTGGTGTATTTCACCACACTCCTAGGGCATGTCATCCATTTATTAACTTTTAAGTGGCAATCTTTTGACGATTCTTCCTTCTCCTTTCCTCTCGCCCTTCCATGAGCCATCTTAGAGCTCAATAACTTCAGTCTCCACTCTTGTGTGGTCTTACCTATTGCCACCATGGGAAGAGCCTCAACATTCACCATGTCAAATGAAGCAAACAAGCAAGATATGTCCACCTCATGGGTCACAGAATTATTCGAGGTGAACATGCCCTTCAAGGGCTTAGGTCTTTCCTTCACATTTTCAGTGTCAAAGCTTTCATTCAGTGTTATATAATCAATATTTTGAGCAATAGAGAAGGTGATACGCTCATCAGTCGCTCTCAATATTATTATACCATCAACTACATTGACCAAAGTATTGGCGGTGGCTAGAGAATGGCGTCTTACTATAATGGGACCTCGATATCCTTGTTGATATCAAAGAACATTGTATCGGAGCTCATCTGCTTGTGCAGAAGATCATTAGGTTAGTAAGGATTACAAAGTCCGTAGGGAAGTAGAACTTCCCACTTGTACTGGAATGTCCTCTACTATTCCCCTACGTAGAATTACCGATCTATCAGCAGGAGGCTTTAGTTCACCTGGGCCTAGCTTCATATAAACCTTATATGATGCTTACCCTTAAGTCCGTCAATGACTTCTCTAAATGCAATGATCCTATTTAGCAAGGTATAGTGAAGCTACCTGGATTTGTTGTTTCTGAGAAAGCTTGTTTTGGAGGATGGTCGAGCATTCCCTGCCAAAGCATTTCCTTCATGAACTTGGCATACTTTGGCATTTGAGCTAAAACATACAAGAATAGTACAGTCACGTTCAACTTGTTGAGGACATCCATAAACTTGCCGAACTAGACTTCAAGTCGGTCTTTGTACATCCTTGTGAAAAATTAAGGGGAGGCTTGTACTCAGCCACGTGTGGCGGTGTCAACACTGTCTTCCTAGCCTCGACATCCTTATCCTTCTCGGACTCTTATTCTTCTTGTCTCGTTCCGGATATCACAATAAAAATCCTGATTAAGGCCCAAGTATAAACCTTAACGGGTGCAATATAGGGCAAGTATGTTTTAAAAGTCAAACCTAGGCCGGTCCATGTACCTCTACTTTAATTGTTTGAAACATTATCTAGCAAATAATTTTTGGTTAAAACTGTGGTTTAAAGCTAAAGCGATTGGAAACATAAATGGTTTGAACACTTATTGAGAAGGCTTCACCCGGGTGTTGCTCCCCCTAGCTAATAATCATGGCTTGTCGGATGGAATGCAAATGTGTGGTAGAGGCGGTTGTAAACCATAGGGAAGCGCAATAAGTGAGCAAGCGTCGCTCTCATGGTCACTAGGCCAAGGGATTTAGAATCAAGCTACCAAGGTAGCTCTCTTGGCCAATCGACTAAGGGTTGATTGGGCTTCTCCCTCAAACCGTAGTCCGAACGACCGAAACACAACCTACCCAAGGTGCTAATATGTATTAAAAGGTTTTCCCTAATTCAACCTAAGTAGGTGACAAAATTTGGCTAATGAATTCCAGCTTTTACAAGCCTCTTAGCAAGAAGGGGATTTCCCTCTACCTAGTACCTAGGTCAAAATGACATAGGAGTTGGAAATGAAAAAACAAAACACAACCTTCATGAAAATATCTCATAACTTTTTCTACTTTTCTTGTTCGTCACTTTCTCTCTTTAGAAGTCTGAAGAAGAAGAAGAATAAGTATCTCTCACTTGATTATCCTCCTTTCTCTTTCAGCCCACCCTCCTTATATACCGAGATCGATAGTATTTCACAATCCAAGTTCATGGCCATGAACATTGAGCTTGGACCGTTATACAAAGTAAAAACGCGTCGTTTCACTTAGGCGCTTCACGGTTTGGAGCAGGTTTTCACGGTGGAATGATCGTGAACTGCTGAATGCCCAGGAGGCGTGCAAAACCCTCTGGACTTCATGCGCTTCACGGTCTGTGCCCCTTATTCTCGGTCTGGCTAACCATGATCTGTTGTCCTTCGCCGTGAACTGCTGTTGTTTGCTCCCTTTTGACCGGTTTTCGCCCCTTTTCGTGTAACTTTCATTCCATGGGTTGTTTTCACCTGCTAGGATTTGAAACATACTGGAAAAAAAACCACAACCTAGAGTAAAACTATCCTCACGGAGTAAAAATGCCTCAAACATCTAAGGAAAATGGGGGTAAAAAGTGTACAAATAGCCCTGATCACTCCCACACACTTAGACGTTTGCTTGTCCCCAAGCAAACCAATTCCATACAAGCAAAGCAGTCAAAATCGGGATTTTACCTAAAATCGAAAACTGGGGTAAAATCGGAAACGTAAAATCGAATCGTAAAATCGTAGGATTTTAAGTTCCATATAGAAACTAACATATAATTATATTAATAAGGTAAACCATTACCAACACAAAGGCACATAACATTGAAACTGATAATTCTCAAGATTAATGTTCCAAGATCATCATTTTAATTATTATTTAATGCGTAACTAAAATAGTTCACGAGGAAATGATAGAGCTCATGGAGCTTGGCTCTTGTTTTTCATGTTGTGTTTAGGTAGTTTAACTCAAAGTAGTACTCTGGTCAGGTTAATTTCAACATTGTCTGTTAATCATGATTTAAAACTAATAATATATGAACTCCAATTGAATAATTAATGCTAGTGGCTTGGCAAAAATGTACTCATTAATCAATTAATGAGTTAATAATGATATTAATTCTTTCACACGTACAATATTAGGAAAGCTATTTTGCCTTTGGGTTCAACGGATGAAGGGAAAGAGAATGAACGAACCATAATTTGGTTTTTTTTTTTCTTTTCAAATGTTTTTTAATAGGAAAAATATTTGAGAAGATCCTCATCATTGTCCTTTCTGCCAAATCAGTTCCGCTTTTTTAAAATTTGCTCAAACAGCCTATTTTGTTCTCATACGATTTTAATCCCGATTTTGGTAGGATTTTACGATTTTAACGATTTTAATCCCGATTTTAAACGATTTTAAGGTCCACCGATTTTATAGTAAAATCAGGATCAGAATCCCTAAGTAAAATCCTAAAATCCTACGATTTTACGATCAAAATCCCGATTTTGACTGCTTTGCATACAAGGTAATATCTCAACCTGACAAGATAACTTGGGGACATATCAAAAGGCTCAAAGTGAGTGAATCTCAATAGTTATTGGGCATCAACACATAAACCGTTACAAGCAATACCGACATCCACCACAAACAACATTCGAATGCATTAAGAACGTGCAAGCGAAAAGTTCTCATCATGTTTACAAATCAATACAAGTTCGCATGCACGGGTAGATAGTTTCCTTAAAGGAAGAGATAGGGCATCAAAATAGATGAACCATCGATGCAAGATATGAATGAGCTCTAGTTTGCATGATTATCTTCGAGTTCATAATCTAGTACAATAACGTATATTTACTTTCATACATCTATAAATAAAAAATTCTAAACAATTTATTCTTCTCGCTTGCTTTTGCAATTCGTGTATGTGTTGATGGTTGGTGTGAGTAGTTATAAATTAGAAGATCTCGAGGAATACAACACTAGGCTTATCTAGGAATATCCTTGCATGAATTCCACATCATCAACCCACATGTGTATGGCGCCCATTTTCCTCGTTGGGACTTGATTAATTCGGGTCGACTCATCGACCCGCAGGTTGACAACGTTAATCGAGATAGTCGCGACTTTCCATTATGCACAATAAGATCTCGAGGTCTGTGCCAATGAGAAGCTGTGGGCATCCCCCACGCCTGGAATTGTGCTTTTTTCCTCGGCATTATACCATTTGGGATTCTCAATTATCTCCCTAACTTGTTTTCATTTCACCACAATTTCCTACTCATATCCCTGGGTGGTTAGTCTCTGGGTTAAGTTGTGTCATTTTGGGTTTCTTACTCTGGTTTCACAACTACTTCTTCAAAAATTATGTACGATGCATGGTGTCGAGTATGGATTTGATGGATCCTGACCATGTGATTGATTTTGATGTGGCTGATGTGGTTCTTCTTGAATAGGACCAACTGCGTTTGGTTCGCCGGTTTTTCTCCCTGAATCCTTTCAACTAGGAGATTCTGCAGTGGTTAGTCAATGCAATGTGGCATTGTGAATTTATGATGCTCCTGCGATTGTATATGAAACGCCTATTAGGCTAATCAGACCAAAAACCTTAGCCATACTCCTTGGATGGTTAAGGATTACATCGTGAATGTGAATAGTCTCTAGTCATTGGAGGGCCTACGTGTAATTGGTTCATGTTTAATTTGTAATGCATATGTTGGATATTCTACCTTAATAGTGAACTCTAAATTTCGGGAGAAGACATAGATAAATGTATCAAATATAGGGAGTTGAAAACACAATAAATTGAGTGTCATCAGTTTCTTGGCTAAATAACCGCGACATAGGTCGTGAGTACTCCTTCTGTCTTCTTCGTTCATTGCTTGTCCACGATCACGTCCTGGCAATCTGAGACCCAACCCTGATCTTCTACTTAGCCCACGATCTTGTTCGCGGCCTGTAAGTTCTTAATGAGGATTGTGCGATTTTTTCTTGCTAAGAAGGGCTCAAATAGGGGATCCGCTCTCTCTTCCATTTCCTTGTCATTTCAATGGAAATCCTGTCTTGCACGCTTAACCGAGCTATTGCTACAAAGTTTCTCACAGTTTATCAACAATGTCATTGTGGCCAACTCACCCATTTATGTTTTGCAGGTGACCTCATTTTCATTAAAGCACAGTGCATGGAGTCATGACAGTTGCAGAAACTATACAACAATTTATAACATTTCGAGGCTGAAGTGTAGTCCTAGTAAATGTGAGATCTTTATAACATCAAATCTAGCTTTCAGTTGGGCAATCTCCATGTACAGTAGCCGAGAGCGCCTTGAATACACTATTTTGTAGATAAGAAATTATCAGAATGAGCAAAATAAAACAATGTTCATGATCTTGACTAGGTAAATTTTGCTTGCATGAGTATTTCATATTTCCAAATATCATTAAAATGTTGTTAATGAAATGCATGGGAATAAAAAAAACAGTATTATGCTAATAGTAGAGTAGTGGATCTGACGGTGGAGATAATGACATAGTTGAGAACGAGGAGACTGTTCATAGGGGAGAAAAAAATTAAATCTCGGACAATGCTCATAACATGGACGAGATAAAAAGAAAGATATTTGTGAAGATGTTGATATTTTTTATGGTGGAGCAATCGCAAAAGAAGTTCAAAATATTTTTATATTTTTTGAGTAATTTCTTACTGCTAGTATCAAATTAATGTCATTTTATAATTTTTTGAGAAGTATGTTCCCTTGCATACATTTTGTTTTTACGCTCCGTGAAAACTATATATTGTTGATGAATCGATCGACATGGATGTCGTAAACATATCTCACTTCGCCCTTCGGTCTCATATATTCTAAATCTTCGGGGGTGAAAGCAAAACCAAGATACGTATTGGTTGAATTATGATATATGTTCCTTTGTCGAGTTTTCCAATAATGGAACAATTTGGATCCTCTTTTAGTAGTACCAAATAAATATGCATGTTACTTCGAACAAGTGTCATTGTTGTTTATGAAATGTAGCTATAGGAGATGGGTCTCGTCCAAATATAGTGAAATTTATCTATTCAAGAAACATTTTAAAAAAAAAAAACTAGCTATAAGTACATTAACAGGACACGGGCAATACAAAAGAGTAGTGTTTTAACTAGCTTGGTGGTTGCTGATGTGGACTCCGGGCAGTAAAGATCTTGGTGATGAGGTGAGTGAGAATTCCCAGCGGACAGGCAAGCAGGCACAGCGCAACCGAGTGTCGCGTCTCCACCCCGTTTTCCAGCCCATCCTTGTACACCTGCCTGCGTATACATGATATCAAACATTAATTTCTTCAGGCCAGTATCATTGTATACGCTTTATATGATTTGAATCGGACTATCAGCCGCTACGATTGGAAGCCACGGGAGTCTCGCAAATTGGTTTGTAACCTTCCTTTACTAGATTGGATTAGGTTTAGACCCACATGGAGAAGTATAAATACTTCTCATCTCCTATGTAATCTATAATCTCCTCGATATAGTGAAACTTGGCTCTCTTGCCCGCCCGTGGACTAGCTAACACATATTGTGTTAGTGAACCACGTAAATAATGTGTCGTGTGCTTTCTGTTTTTGTATTCTTACTTTCTCGATTCCAGCGATTTCCCGATCCGTAGCAGCTCAGACTTAGGGGTGTTCAAATGATTACCATGGTAATAACCAAACCAAATAAGTCTAAAATCTATTAATTAACCATGGAGTACAATATCATAACCAAACCGTCCAAACTAATACAACAACCAAATTAACCAAACTAAAGTTTATTCGGTTTGGTTAATTGGTTAACCAAAATAACCAATATAACACCACATTATCATTAAATGAGAAAATTTCAGTTAGTGCATCGATTTGCAATTTATATAATGAACAACACATAACAATCCACATATTCGTAGTTAACCCTTAACTTAAATACATAACAATCCCAATGAAATGACTACGTACCTGGCCGCGAAGAGGTCAACCGCCACCATATGAATCCACGCCGAAGTCAGCCTCATGTCGCTGGCAAACATCTTCGTTACCCCAACAAGCTGATGGATTTCAAATGTCAAACCATTTCAGTAACAGCTCCTTGGAAACCACTGCTATGATTTTGATTTATGTAGCATGCAGCACAATACTGTAAAAGAGCACAAAACCTGAGGCACCATGTATTTGCTTCCAAACATCAGGTGCAACGTATCCGGCGTCCAAGACAGGTACACCACATATCCGTACACAAGCCCCAGCACTGCGTCCGGTATCATACTTCCCATACACTTCCTTGTCTGCAGATTAATTGAATGAACGAAAATTTTGGATTATATAATGAGATGAAAAGGCAACAATTTCAAAACGTTATGTATTATCATACGATGTTTGATTTCGGAGCGAGAAGCATGAGCACGTAGAATGGGAGAACTGCTGTTGTTGCCAAGCTGAACACCGTGCTGGCGCTGGCGGCGTACGTACATGAGGCGGCGGATGCAGATCTGGACGAGCTTTTCTGATGATGAAAGCAGAGGCTGCTGCTCAATTTTGGTTGACAAGTAGTGGTGATGACCTTTGGAGACGAAATGAATGATCTTCTTGGCGCCTTTTGAAATGGCATCATCATCATCAGTTCGTGATCATGATGATGTTTAGGAGACAGAGGAGGAGAGGAGAAGCACAAAGGGAACGCCATCAGCCCGGCGGAGAAACGCATGTAAAAAGTACGTGCTTTCCACCAAAATGTATTTTTATATATGTGGGGTTGAAGAGGCCGTGGGAGGACACATTGTACACCGTATGATATAATTATTTATATGAACCTAACGGCTGGTCTCGAACGGGAGCTTGGTGTTGCGTATTTCAAGGTTTAGTGTTGAAATGCTAACTAAATCAGGTCCGGGAGAGAAGGGAGGGCTTACACAATGTGCAAAATTGATCACTTCAATATAATTGTTAGTTGGATGATATCCGCGTTTTTTAGATGAAATTGCGTTACTTGAGAGTTGTTTAGCTAATTTATGACGAAACGTTATACAATAGAAATTAGGTTTTTGAGAGGTAAATATATGACTGATGTATTCTTCCAGAGTATATTCTAGTCTATAGTGAGCTATCTCCATGCAAATCATAAACTAAATCGATTTTGGCGTATGATATGTATACACTAACCTTCAAAAGATGTAAAAAAAAAAAAAAAACCTTCAATATATGATCCTAAACTAAAACTTGAAGATCAATTTAATAAGATGAATAATAAAATATTCTAATACAACGAACTGCATATCTAACGATCATCACTTTGACTATGATATACTCTAGGAGTAGGATAGTTATTACCATATACAACGACTGTTGTACCCTTGGACTATACCACCATACTCCAAATCGTCTTATTTTTGGAGGATGTACTTTATTGACCTTTGGCAAATCAGAGTCGTCGATTAGGATTCTTTATTAAATTGATCTTCTAGTTTAGGTTAAGAGAATTAGAGTTATATGTTAACCAATTAGAGTTTAGGATATAGCTCCAAACTGAACTTAATTCATTATTAATTAAGTAGAAATACCTGTGTTCATACTAAATTGCCGTATATCTATGAGTAAAAGCATTATGGCCAATATATCAAGACATGTTTTGTTTTACATGAATTTTGGTGGGACTTGGAAGGGTTAGGTCAGAGGCTATGATGGTCTTTGAATCGGAGCCTCCCATCACCGTCAAATTTTGGTCAGTGTTAATTGTAGTTGGCTAGTTGCCCAAAATTGCAAACAACACAGCTGACTCCCGTGGAAAGTGGCATTTTAGAGTATCCCAGTTTGGGAAGGCATGGGGTACGTATAGTCAGTCCTTCATGCTTTGTTTGTCCCCCACTTTCCTGCATTCCCTGCCCTACCTACGCCAATGGCGGTTAATGAGTCGAGTTGTTCGTGAGCGGCTCGGTATTTAACTCGATAAAAGCTCGATCGATTATAAAAAAAGGTTGGCTTGTTAATAAATGAGTCGAGTTTGAGCTCTAACTTGTTCGTCTCGTGAAGCTCGTGAACTAGCTCGATTAGGTGGCTCGTTGAATACAACTGAGAAAATCAATCTGTATTTTATGAGTTGGTTTGTTAATGATGCATATAATTATTAAATTGTATATATCACCTCATATGGTGTTTAATACATTGAGTATATGTAAGCAAATACGTCTCATATATGACATAACATTAGGTAATCACATGTATCACATATGACATATAAATATAAGGGTATTTATATTATAAATTATCTTAGAGTTGAGCTCGAGCCGAACTTTCGATCTTAATGATGTGTCAAGATTTAATAAATGAGTAGGCTCGTGTTCGACTCGACTCGGCTCATTTATAAACGAGTCGAGCTCGAGCCCGACTCGTTTATAAACGAGCCGAACATGAACAAGGCAAATCTCAACTCTGCTCGACTCGACTCATTAACAGCCCTACTACGCCATTTCCCACGTCCCAATTACTAACTCTTTCGTTTGCTTCTGTGAATGATATACAAGTGTAGACACCTTTATTTCCAAAATAAGTAGAGTCACGCCATATGTTGAGAATTAATCATTGGCTTCTGATGTAATTCACTATATCACTTTTGACTCACTCCAACTACCACAATAAAATCCCGACTAGAGTCCAAGTATAAACTCTAGTAGAGTGCAGTATAAGACAAGGGTTTTAAAATATTAATCCGGGTCGGTCGATGTACTCTTACTTCAACTGTTTAAAACGTTATCTAGCAATCGGTTTTTAGTGAAAACTAAGAACTATAATTTAAAACAAGCAAGAAAGTAAATGGTTTTAGAATCTATATGAGAAAGCTTCCCTTGAGTATTGCTCCCCCTAGCTGTATATCAAGATCGACCGAATAGAATTCAAACTTGTAGGAACGTGTTCATTCACCGTAAGGAGGGCACAACTAGTGAAGAAACTTCACTCTCTTGGGTGATAGGTCAAGGAACAACAAATGAAGCTAGCGAACTAGCTCTCTTGGCCACAAGGGTTGTTAAGGCTACTCCCTCGGAACTTAATCTAGACAGCAAAATAAAAACCAAATCCAAGTGTTAAATCGAAACTTGAGTCTTGCCCCAAAATGCTTAGGTGGGTGAGAAATGAAGAACACAACAAAAGAATTCTGAAAATACCTCAAGCTTTGCATTAAACAAAAACCCACACACATATCATTCATTCCATACAATCTATCACAAATATAAACCTTGGGTTTACAATACCCAAGTGAAAAAGAGTACTACTCCACAACTAAAGTAGAGATTACAATAAAGAGAAGAGGAAGAACCATGGTGTGGTGTATGCATTCCTTTCTTGTTGTAGAAATCACCATTGGAAGATGAAAAACCTCAATCCTCAAGGTTGGAGCAAACCCTAGACCTCTGCTTCTCTCTTGGTCCATCAGTTTCTCTCTCTAAAATCTGAAGAAGAAGAAGAAGACAATCTCTCACTAGGCTCTCCCCTTCAAGTTTCAGCTCCATCTTCCTTTTATATCCAGATCGCACGCACATCACAGTCAATATCACAGCTGTGATCTTTATGCCCGGACCGTGATCTCGGGCAAAAGCGCACTGTTTAATTTAAGGTCTTCACGGTCGGGGTCGGATTATCACAGTCTAGTGACTGTAATATTGTTTAGGCCCGCGAGGCCTAAAAATTCTTTTGGTTTCCTCGAACACCACAGTCTGGTCTCCATCTTCACGATCAACTGACCGTGATAATGTTGCTTGAACCGCGATCTTCTCATTTTTGCTCATTTCGATCCGCTTTCGCCCTCTTTCGTTCAAATTTTGCTCTGAATGCCAATATCACCTGTTAGAACCTGAAACATGCTGGAAACATGCAAAAACTAGCATAAAATCGAACTTCGAGTGATGTAAACGCCTCAAACACCTCATGAACATGGGAAGAAAACATGTGCAATTAGACCCGAATCACTCCCCCACACTTGGATGTTTGCTTGTCCCCAAGCAAACCAATCTCAAACAAGGTAATATCTCAACCTACAAACAATGTCTTGGGGACATATCAAAGGGCTCAAAGCGGATGAATCTCAATGATTATTGGGCACCAACACATGGATAATTTACAAGCAATGCTGACAATCACCACAAATGACATTCGAATGCATTAAGAACGTGCAAACAAAAAGTTCTCACTCTGGTCACAAACCAACACATTACTGGACAAGACTACTCACAAACCGTCGTTTCCCCACTCTCAATCAGAATCGACAATCAAAAGGGAACCGTCCTTTTAGCCCTTGCATGTTCAGAATCATATGCTTTCTCAAAGACAAGAATCAGAAATGAAAGTAACCAGGCCCATAGGATTTGCACACCTATGATTTTTTATATTTTCCCACTGGATAGTTTACAACTGTCCAAACCACTTTTTAGTCCACAAAGGGCTGCCTTTAATACATTGTGAATTCTTCAAATTCAAATATATTTGAATTTTCTTGAACTCTTCTCATAATCTGAATTATGAGTTCGTTCACATCTCAAATACTACAAAAGTATTTGATACCATTAACCAAATCGAATTGGTTAACCATTCCACCGACTTCGAAAATGACAGCCGATTACTTCTTTCCCTTCTCCGGTAACCAACCATCCATTGAAGATTTGATACCATTAACCAAATCGAATTGGTTAACCATTCCACCGACTTCGAAAATGACAGTCGAGTACATCTTTCCCTTTTCCGGTAACCAACCAACCATTGAAGTATACAGGAACCATGAATCCAATACTCATATACATCATGCTTCATGACTCAACCGCCATTTGATTGGTCCATGCAACAGAAGGTTGCATTACTTCAAAACCTTTCAATTAGTGACCAGAGACCGCGGGTAACTTCCAACTGATGAAAGATTGCATCTGTTCAATTTTTTTCCCTAACCTCTACGACCCTTCATCATCTCGGGGAACATGCAATGGTTAACACAAATTATGACACCCGTGTGCCAACAGCAGAACAGATACAAAAACATTCATAATCAAATAAAGCTTTCCAACAATCCGATTCTTTCCTACTAGTTCCTGACAATCTTAGAGTGTTATTAGCCCTCACTACAAATTGCTACTAGGCTCGAGCAAACCATCCCCAGGAGTACCTTCAATTTAAGTCTGGAAGCAGCAATCTTGCAGACTTCTGTGTTTATGGAATAGAGAAGGGAAACGAGAAGAAGAAGTAATCTCACGTTCATGTTTCGTCTAATAGAGTTATGGCAGATTGGCAGTCATCTATTTATAATTGTGAAAATTGGAAGTTACCTTCCGAAGAGTCACTTCCTTTCACAGAAAAAGGTAGTTACATTTCTGGAAGGATACATCCTTTCACAGAAAAAAGAAGTTACCTTTCTGGAAGGACACTTCTTTTCACAATATTCAAACGTTAATTAATTAATTAAACTGTCAAAAGACTCCATCTTTACACTTTACTTCTCCCATCAATGTCGCATTACAACTCTATTGACTAACTCTAACGGGATTGATATTGAAAATAGGGGTATAAACGTCAATGTAGTATGGTTTAGGGCGAAAAAATTTAAAATATTAGAACGACGAATAGCTATTGAATAAAATTTCTCTCCTCTTTTATCTCTCTTTCTCTTCTCTTTTCTTTACAGGTGGACAGAGAGTACTCCCGCTTTCCTTCACTTTCTTGAATTTCCGCCGTAACGAAACAACCCAAGCTTTGTCGAGAAACTCGATCCATCGCCCAGGGACACGTCACACAAATCCAGCACAACTCAGGTTCTCTTCCCTGGGACAGGTGTTTTAATTGATGATTGTACGGAACGAATTGTTGTTTGAATTGTGATTGCAGACAGTTGATATGGTGGTGCGGGTACTGAAGGAAGGAGGGATGGCTGCAATTAAACCTAGGGCTTATATATTCTCCTTCCTCTGCTCAATTTGGAGTAAGGGAAGACACAGAAAAACATAAGGATTTTTTCCATGTCGAGGAAGAGCTTCATGAAATTGAGTCGGGCGTTCTCACTATGGAGCTTGAATGCCTCGCGACGGTAAACGATGTCTGCGAGCTTCTGGCCGACGCCCGACCCGAGGATGACAAGGAAATCCAGGGGAGAGCTGCGGATCGAGATGCTCAGGCAATGGCGGCCAATTCGGGGGCGAGTCAGGGGTTCAGGTAGGAGTGTTCGTTCGGATTCGGTTACCCGAACCGAAACTCGACAAAACCCGAACGAAATTAAAAAAACTGAACCTGATAAGGACTTTCGGTTTCTGGTTCGGGTTCAGTTAAAGCAAAACCAAAATTCGAACGCTTAAGAATACGGGTTGAGTGCTATTTCTTGAAGGTTTTCAGTCGAAACCCGAAAAACCGATAAGCAAAACCGAACCCCAAATCGAAAAACCCAAAACCCAAAAATGTATCTAATCAGGTCGGTTTTGGGGAAACCCGAATAGACACCCCTATGTTCAGGGCGCCTTTGAGCCAGATGCGGTCACTAACACAAGGAGCACGGTTGCTCGATGGCGGCGATGGCAAGTGAGCAGGTTGTCGACCTTGACTTGGAGCAAGGCAGTGAGGCGGCGGAGGAGACCAGGTCGATGTCGTTTAATTAATTGTGAAATTTTAAATAAAATTGCACAAATAATAAATTTATCTTATGTGGCGCTTATGTGGACAATAACTAGTGCCATGTCATTAAAAGTGAATATGTTTTGACTTCTGTTATGTTAAATCGTTAAGTTTAACAGTAAACTGAAAACTCAGAACACAAATTACGTTGACTATCAATAGGTTGAAACATTACTATAATTATTGAAATTACGTAACAAAAATGATAATTTCGCTAAAGTTAGTATTTTTAGTAGTATATTAACCCAAAATAAATCAAATCATGTTTCCTTTGTCGGATAAAAGAGAGAGCAGAACTGAGCTCACAATTTATCAAATATGAATAACGTTCATGAAAGAAGGAAGAACTCTAGTACTACTTTCCATCTCTATTTGGCCATTTCTAAATGAATCATATATCATATATGCACGCTTCTGTTTTTTTTCCTTCTTGTTTGATGTCACTATGCAGAAGCCGAAGTTAAACAGAGAGCCGGCACGTTCACTATTATTAAATGTGAATAAATTATGGCATCTCAAATTATTAAATACTAGGTAGACCCGCTCGCGTTGCTTCGCGATGAACGAACAATGTGAAACAATGATAGGAAGAAAAGAAAAAAAAGAACAGGCTGCAAAATGGATTGAAGATGATAAAAGAAACATTAGAGGCTCTTACCCAACCAAATCGTAACCCATTGTTTGGACTGAATTGCAGCACCTGAAGTAAACACCTTATTATTTGGCCGACTACAATTTCGGCTAGTGGACAGTATCTCGGGATTTCTGAGTTAGAATGATGCGAAAAACATCCTAATTGACATAATATATTGATATTCAATTAAGATAGCTATCGTCAACAACTCCCTTGACAATCACCTTTTACACGGCTCGAACAACACTGGATACAGCAATATATAGAAGCCAAGAATTCTAAAAAGGAAGTGAAAATGGATGAGCGGGGATCAGGCATAGATTGAACTTCAGCTGGTGATAATTAAACTACCTAGAAAGCAATTACAGAATTTAGTTAGAAATCCATCCCAAAAAAACAGTCAAATGAACCTATCAAAAATCATATGTATGGCATCCATAGACATAAATGGATAGTAGAGGGTAAGTTCCATGTATTAGGGATAAATCTTTATTCATATTGACGTAAGTTTCCTTCTCCTACATGAACCTGTACAATTGTGGGTATAAATGCCCCTTCTCAATGTCAATACAAACACACGATTCACATTCTTACAGCTTTAATCCCGAAACCCTAGCTCTTCGTTGCAATCTAGAATTTCAGCGCCCACGATCAGCGTCGAGTCGCCTGCTGTCCAACATGTCCGACAACAGCTCGGTCACGTCAATACAAACACACAATTCATATTCCTTACACCATGGAGCCAACAGGTGGGCGCAAAAACAACCTATTGAAACACTATAGCAATTCAACTTACAGAATCAGCAGGAGTAACTATCATGAACCTGTGTTTATATATAAGGCAACATCTTACTAATCAAAAAGAAATTGATTAAAGGTTAAAGAAGAATTTATGAACTACACGACACAGGAAGCTCGGTTTCTTCATCCCATGGCAACATATGTTCATCGATTGAAAGAAACTGTGGATTGAGGAGAAATTGACATGAAAGACGGCTGCTTTAGTTTAATGAACTTTATTTTAATCCTCCTCTGTGATTCCATAATACCAATAAAACTTCTATTTCTATTCAATTACAGAATGCTAAGAAATTGAGTCCATTTCAGCCTAGAAATCTCACCAATTTAAATGGTGCAGAATAAGATGCTTACAGTTCAGCCTATAAGTCCTCAAATGCATACCTGCAAACCCAGGCATAAAAGCAAGCAATCTGATTTGTAATGAAGCTCTGACCTGACATTGTAAGCAAGCAAAGAGTGTTAGATATAAAGAGCCACGAATAGATGTAAACCTGGAGTTCATCAGTGTTCACTGAGCAGCTTAAGAAAGCATAATCAACCTCACCGAACCTCAAACAGAATGAAAATGGCAGTGCACTGTATGGGTCGAGCAAATAAAACAAAGAAAGAACATATAAAAGATTTGTAATGGGAAATAGCAATTATTATGAACGTGTAAACTTAGAGTTAATGAGAATAGTGCCAAGTCTAGCCATGGCATCCTGATAAGCTGATTTTTATCACCATCTCTCTAAGGTTACAAATTCAACACACAACAAAATGGCAGCATGCTGATTGCTGATACACCATGTTCATTCCTTGTCATATCTTGTCACAACGATAGGCGGTTTTAGCATTATGAAACAGTTGACCTACAGTTCAACCACGATTTAATCCAAAATACCTACTGCTAAGTTTTCCGACATAACTTCCAATACCGTTTCACAATCATTGTGCACAATAAAGCCCCTATTGCTTTTACCCTTCCACTTTTCACCTTTTTACCACCCAATGCAAATATAGCAGCAGCATACATTACTTCCTACACGGTTATGGCAAACTATGTTATGTGGAATAAGATATTCAACTTGTTTCCATTGATATGTAAAACTACTTACTGTAATAATTTATTGCTGTTGTTATCGATTTAGGAGAAGCAACCGGGTCTGGTCTGCTAGAACAGCGACCAACCAGTCCAATTGGTCAAAAGTTAACAGTGCAGCTGGTGATCATCACATTCGTATTACTTAATTACTATTAGGCTAATAAACAATTTCTTAATGTTAATGTAGAATATTATGGGGTTATTAGAATATGTATTACCTCACGGGCAGCGGCGGATTTGAAAGTGAAGATGTGGGCCAAAGCAGGGATGATGTAGACAGTGAAGCTAACAAGCACTGATCCAACGGCGGAGTTGATGGGTCCGAAGAAAGGGAAAATGATGGCCAGGAACCAGATCGGAATCACCACCGGCAGCCTCGCCGCCGCTCTCTTGCACATGCTCTTGCATTCATGTAGCCCGATAGCTTTCTCCCACACGAAGTAGAGAGGCGTGCAAGCAAACCCAAAAGTAATGAACTGCCAACAACAAAATCAAAAACCCATCTCAAATCGGATTCAGATTCCCAACCTCGTAATGAGATAGAGCCTAAAGTTTGCATCTTTGTCACTTTTTTAGTTTAACGAACCTGGTGGATGAGCATGAGAACGACGGCCATGTCCCTGAACGGGGATTTGGGGAGAAGGGAGAAGGCGTTGGAGTGGTTGAGAAGGGCGTCGCCGAAGGCCCAGTAGACGGCGGAGGCAGAAGGGAGTGTGAGTGTCAGAACTCAGAACGTAAAGAGTGGCCAGCAGGTAGATGGATTTGAACTTCTGAGGCTTCCACATCGCATGCATAATCTCCCTGCACATGGTAATTACCAGTAACGTTGGATTTCATTTTCATTCTTCCCAAAAGAAGAAAAAGTAAAACAAAACTTCGGATTTCATTGTGTCGATGATTAATGATGGATTAGTGTGATTAAAAGGCTTCTTTTTTAGTTGGAATCATGAATTACTATAACCTGCCAGCTACTGCAAAAAAGCTGGGGAGGGGAAAAGCTTCTCTGTACTAATATTACTCTATAGCATTATCACGTTATGGTAACTTGGTAATTCGTTCAGACATAAACAGACCACTTTCAATTATATTTCCCCCCTTTCATGATAAAAGCAAAAGTTAGGAAGAAGAGAGGAAAAGGGTTTCTTATATTCCATGCGCCTTTCCATCAAAGAGAGAAATGGATTGAAAAAAAGAGGACTGGCTTTTTTCTGCAATGGAAAGCTGTGAAAGCTCTTGATGACAAACTGCTTTCTGGGTCTCCTCACCCCACGCCTAAGAAGCAAAATAATGGAGGAAGCAGAGCAATTTTCCATGCATATGGGTTAAAAGGCCAACATTTGGGAACATGGATTGGTCATGGCTTTATGGGACTACTCCATGGTCAGGAGGGCAATGTCTAAGTAAGTCAAGGTAAAGTCACTATCAGAAACAAAATGAAGTTGACATGACCAAGAACCCCTTTCCCGTATTCTTTACTCAGTCATGTAAAGTATCCCTATGCTGCTCGGATTTCTAGAGTAAGAAATATTGTAAAAACAAATACATATATGTGTTCACATGTAGAAAATGAGTGAATGGAAGTAACGTTAAAAGGGACAGAAATATGGAGCATCGAGTATATACAAGATTTGGAGGGGATTGTGATATGTTGGGGTTTTTACTTACACAGTAACAGCATGTCCTCCGAATGTGTAGAGGATGTTGGTGGCCCCTGTGAAATACAGCACCATCTTCGTTGGCCCCGAGTGCTTCACTCCCTCCATCTTGAGTTCATCCCATACCAACAAAAATACAAAAATACATTCAGACAAGAAGCAACATGTGAAGGTGGTAATGCTTTCCATCCCTCTTTTATTCATTTTCTTTGTCACCGCACTCTTAACTACATATACTACAACAAAGGAAATCACTTTTTATTATCGGGTTGCCCACAAATCAGTAGCAGATTAATCACAAACTGAGCTGTATTCCCATGAGATCGAACTTCAAACAAGATGATTAAGAAATAAGAGCCTAAGAAACCAGATTAATAAACACATGCATGCATTTGAGTTGTATCACAGTTCACAGGGGTCAGGGGCATATGGGGATCCAAAGTTGAAGTAGATAGACATGACAGCTAAACAACAAAGGCAGTAAAGTGTGACTGGTGCTTAATAAATAAAAGATGTAGCTTACAGGGCCATGGAGGATGGAAGCGATGGTGAGGTACCAAGCAGTGTAGGTGGTCATAACAAGGCCAAGAAAAGACCAGATTCTGTAATTGTGGAAGGATGGAATAAACACAGTTGTGGCGCAGCAGGCTCCGAATATGTATGTCCATGTCCTCTTGTCCAGATTGTCATTTATGTAATATATGTTACTGCAGAGAGACCCCAAAGTTCACCATATAGAGTATTACATTAAGTTCAATCCCCACAGATAAACAAATATTAACACCAGCAGCTAACTACCAAACTACCCAGCATTAAACAATTCAACCGGTTTGTACTTTACCTAGCACAGGCTATGAGCTGAATGACAGATCCAAACAGCAGAAACGTGCAGTTAAACGCCAAACCCACGTTCCTCCAGTGCTTCCCCAACAGCCCATCAAGGACTTCAAACCTTTGGATGACATGGTTTCTGAAATCCGCCTTCTTCTCCCTTTCCTTTCTGGTTCTGTACTCAACGTAGAGAACACTGATTAGATACGCCGTCCAGCTCCCCAGCAAGCCGTAGAAAAGCTGGAACATGATCCCGGATAGCATCCCAAGCTGGGAAAAGGAGTAGGGCAGGGTCAGTAGCACTTGAGCCACCTGTTAAAAACAAACATAAGAAGAAATGATTCACTCAAGCATTTCATCAAACACCAGCTGTGCAGGAATGCAAAAAAACAGGGGAACCAATGAAGTATCGTTAAAAAAAACAAAGTGAGGGATGATGGAGAGACCTGATTCGAAGCGCAGCTGAACCAGGCGTCGTAAACAGAGCCGCCGTGCCACAGGAAGTTGGAGACTCTGCTTTTCACGTCTCTGACTTTGCCTTCGCTCTCCATCTGTACATAATTCCCTACGATCACCGTCTCCACCTCCTTATCAATGAAGAACCAGTACAAGGTTTTGTCATCACAAGCAATACAACCAGCTCGAAAGCCCTTCCCAACAAACAGAAGGAACTTAGAGACGAATTCATGGCCTTGTGGGAATATTGCAACGCTTCTAACTGCTGATCTTCCAGTGAATGCTGCCTTGCTGAATCCTAGCCACTTAGCCACCATGGAATTCACTCCATCACAGCCGATCAACACCTTCCATATATGAATCAATTTAGCTTCAGAGGCATAATTAACTATTGATTCCACTATACAAAAGTTCCCCATCTCTTGCTTACCTTAGTTTTGATAACGGTGCCATCAGAAAGATGCAGTGACTTCACTAAGCACCCAGAATCCGATCCCGAATCTTACATGGAAACAACATTTGATGAGTACCTGATAGTGCCCTCCGGAAGCTCATTCTCCATGGCTTCAAGCAACAGCTTCCTCTGCACACACCGAGCTTCATGTCCGTTACCAGAGAAAGGCACCTCTGCGTTGGTCCGTTCTGTAATCGTGGAAGCAAGCACCACTCTGGCATTTCATCAAACACCATCTATGCATCAGTTCAAAAGAAAAAGCCTGAAAAGCTTCTGCAGAAACCCAATATTCCATCAAAATCTCGAAATGCTCTAACTACCCTACCCATCAATCAGCTTATGTTGCTGGCGAAGGGCGTCCCCTAACCCAAGAGCATCCAGAGCTCTCCAAGCATTCGTCCATGTCGCCAGAGCAAACCCAGTAACCCTCAAGCTCGGTGCTGACTCCAGCACCAGGCTTCTGATTCCGAGCCTGCACAGCAGAGTTGAATTGAAGTTACCCAGTACTTAAGAAGTTATATATCGATCGAGAAAGCTTTGGGATTGGAGTGGTTACCTGTGACTTGATTGGTTTTGCTGCTGCTGTTGCTGCTGACCGCTTATGACCACAGACTGCGCAGCTGTTGTCTGTGTCCGCACCAGGCAGCATCATCGATCCCGTCGACGCCATTTTCTTCTTCGTCCATCTCCGCAAACAACACTAAAAACAAGAATCAGAAGCAAAAACAGAAAGGAGGATGAACTCCAAGAACGATAGTGAACAAAAACCCAGAAAAACCTAGAAGAAAGGAAACGACTTTATCACTAAAAACAAGAATCAGAAGCAAAAACAGAAAGCCAAGAACGATATTGAACAAAACCCCAGAAAAATCTAGAAGAAAGGAACCGACTTTATCTTGATGGATAATCTGTGAGTTCCGGTTTGTGCTCTATTTCGCCGGTTTCTTCTGTCATCTCCTCCATGTTCTGCTTCTAAAAACAAGAATCAGAAGCAAAAACAGAAAGGAGGATGAACTCCAAGAACGATATTGAACAAAAACCCAGAAAAACCTAGAAGAAAGGAAACGACTTTATCACTAAAAGCAAGAATCAGAAGCAAAAACAGAAAGCAGGAAGAACTCCAAGAACGATATTGAACAAAAACCCAGAAAAATCTAGAAGAAAGGAACCGACTTTATCTTGATGGATAATCTGTGAGTTCCGGTTTGTGTTCTATTTCGCCGAATTCTTCTGTCATCTCCTCCATGTTCTGCTTCACCCATGTCTCGATCTTCCTTTTCTTCTTCTTCACCTTGCTTCTTCTTCGTCGTTCAACACAAAAGAGAGAAGGAGAGAGAAAGCAGATCTAGAAAGATGGAGAGAGGAATGGGGGATTAGACATGAGGAAGAAAGAAGGGATAAGTAATAAAAAGTCTCCCTTTGGTCAGAAAAAGCAAAACAAGTATAGTCAATTGAGAAATGATGAGAACAAGTAAAAAGCAAAAAAGTAACAGTAACGGGATGTGACTCTAAGAAACAGTAAAGTTGTAACTTGTTCTTTTAAAGAGATAATGATCTAAGTAAGGCAAATTGACAACAATGGTCTCCAATGGTTTTGTCAATTACGATAATTGGTTCCCACAAATCCTAGACAATGAAGTTCTTCTTTCTCTCCTGATCTCACGCCACAAAACGCCCAAAATGAAGGGAAAGATGACAACTCACGTAAAACAATTCAAAGTATATACAAATTTTCAAAACTGACAACTTCTGGTAATGCATGAAATATATACTATCATAACAAAAATACTAACAGGCTCCTGCCGGCCTTGCCTTTTACCAAGTTAAAAACATTTTATTTTATTTCATTTCATTTCTAAATGAATAATTTTTTTTTATGTTGGTCATTTGGAATCATTTGAAGATAGTAATAACCGATCCCGTTTTATAATTACGATGATCTTTTGTTTCACAATTCTCAATCCAGTTTATACAATGATCTGATTTGGTATAGTTGGTTTAAAACAATATGTAAAAATGTGGAAAAAAATCATTAACATCATAAAAACACATTTGAAGAGAATCTATTACAGTTTACATTCGTATGTAAATAAAATAAAACGTTCCAAACAAAATAACAAATACTCATATTTAAATATAATATTTAACGTTCACTTCCAAATATTTATACTTGAATCCAAAAAATAACATCAACATTTAACTTTCAATATCATGAAATAAATAAATAAAATTATTTTTTTTTGTTAATTAAATACACTAAAATGATGTCATTTTGTTTTAGGTCAGAAATTGATCACGTTAGTCATACCAGTAGTATTCTAACCGGTTTCATGACCAGAACCGATTATACCCAATATTTAAGAAACTCTACCGTACACGCTGACATGACATAAATTACAGGAACCTAAACGGTAGACAATTTTAGTTGTACGAAACGTTCAACCACCATTCACCATAGTTTTAGTAAAAAATACCCTATAATGAACTTTTTCGGGTATAACTTTAAATACGATTTCACTATCATTAAGTATACCAGGTTCAACCAACTGACATTCCACTGCGGTGACAACCATATTTGTTAAGAGGTCGGAAATTGATCATTCCAGCCATACCGATGGTATGTAGCCAGTTTCATGATTGGAACCGGTAATACCCAATATTTGTAGAAGCCCTACCGTACCGATTGTCTGATAGAAATTACTGAACCCTAATCAGTAGACGATTTTAGCTGTACGAAACGATTGAACCACGATTTTACTACAAAATACCCTACCACTAACTTTTTTCGGTAAAAATTACTATACTATTTTACAATTAATGATCATACCAAGTTTAATCAACCGACATTCCACCGACGTGACAACCATATTCGTTTCGCATTATTTTGCGATTTGCACATTTTTTTCCTTTATTATAACCCATTTTAAAAAATATCACATCAAAAAATATTCACATTAACATTTTGTTTTAAAAACATTCTATAGTTTATTGACAAATTAGAAAAAAAGGGTTGCACCCTAAGCTTTTCCATTGGAAAAATCGGAGGCAGGCAGGCCAGGCCGACTTGGAAGCATGATGATTGATGATGATACCAATTACCAAAAGGAAAGAAAAAAAAATTGAAAATATTTTATTCGTCTTCCTTTTTGTAATTAAAACGGAGAGCAAGGAAAGAAAGGAGGAGGCGTTTGTGTGGTGACCACCACTCTTTATTACCAAGTCCACAACCACCATAGGTTTCTTTCTTCCTCATCACATCAGCCACTTCCATTCCTATAAAATCCAATCCCTCCGCCGCGCCTCGTCCCTCTTCTCTCTCCACCACCTTCCTCTGCTCGTCGCGGTGGCGTCCTTCTTCCCGTAAGGTCTTCTCTTCTCCCCGGAGGATTCCAACAGGTACTTTCTCCTCCGCCGTGGCTTTGTTTTCCTGCTCTCTTCTTTACTACGGCGGCTCAGATCTGGATTTACTTCCTGTTTCTTAAGTCGGCGGTGCGTTGAATCTTCCATTTTCTCGGTCTCTAGCTCTGGATCAGATCCATCGAGCTGTTTTTTTTTTTAATTCTGTTTGTTTGTTCGTTCGTTTTCTTTTCTGCGCATTGAATTTGGCTGTCAGTTTTTCCCCCCTCGTCTTAATTCTTATCCATTACTGCATATATATGTGTCTTTCCCGTCAGTTCCATCTTATTTAATTTTGTGGATCTAGAGTAAGAGTTCCATTTCGTGGCATCGTGAGCTGATTTCTGAATTAGGATATGATTTGGAGAGGATTTATGGTTCTGATATATAAAAGTTTCATTCTTTCTGTAGTTTGTTGCCTGGATCCAAGGTTTCTTTTCAGCTGGTTTGGTCAAAGAGCATGATGAATTTCCTTTTCGTTCTGTCCTTTTCTTTTCAAGTTGTTAATTTTTATGGGATCTGCTGAATCCTTCTATTGATGTGGGCTTGTTCCTTCAAACGAATTGGTTTGAGCTCATTTGATGTACTAATAACTTGTTGATTTCCTGGTAAGGGGGCCTTTTGATGTGTGGTTTTGCTCTATGTTGTCACAATTGGTTCCTTACCTTTTTTTTCCTTATGCAAAATTCGGCAGGCGGTCTACTGTTGATTTATTCAACAAATTTCGAAGATGAGTCAATTTTATCTTCAGCAGAACGTCGTTGCCTCTTGTGATGAAGCAAGGGGTATGGTATCGATGTCTGATCTCAGGGGTCCTGTTGTCTGCCCCAAGCCTCGCCGAGTTGGAATCCTGGCTAACAATCCTGTCCGCCCTTTAAGGTGGCAACTGTGGTATGGCCACTTTTTCTTGATTTGCTATTGAGGCTGCTCTTTGCTATTCTGAACTGTGAAATCTCACATTTGTGTCTTGGCGTTCTGTTAATGTCAGTCATCAGGCGGATGGGAGCGATATAAGTGCCGGGTCAGAGCTTTTGGACATTATCCTTAAGAAGGTAATTTCTTTCCTGTACTCATTACCACCTTGCATTGACCTTTGACACATTGTTGATTTGCTTGGTGTTTCTTTTGGTGAACCTGTTTTTCATTTTGGAATTTTCCTTATGAATGACTTAATTTGCTTTTGTTTGTTCTCTCCTGGTCTTGTACTGAAATTTGAGTGCACTTATCTTCTCTGGATTTAGTTTTTGTCACATTGACCGATATGGGTTTGTTGTGTTCGGAACAGGAGGATTATGGAGCTGAGAAATCCGCCGCTCAGGTGGCTTCATCACCTCCATATTTTTGTGGGTCTCCTCCGGCAAGGGCTGCGAATCCTTTGATTCGGGATGCTCAATTTAGGGATGATAAGGTTTTCCAAAACCAACCTTCTCCTTCATCAATGCTGTCTCCATCAGCGGCATCAGCACGCAAAGGAGGAGGTTGTGTGAGAATGAACTTTGGGTTTAAGCCAGCTGCAGTTAGAGTAGAAGGTTTTGATTGCCTCAACAGGGATCGCCAGAATTCAAGCATCCCTGCTATGGCCTAGAAGTCACATAAACAGGAGGGGAAAAAAATCGCCAAGTGTACATAGAGAGAGGGAGAGGGATCTACCAAAAAAAAAAAGCCCATCAGTCTCGAAGGAAACCTAAGAAGACTTATAATTAACAAGAAGAGGGAAGAGTTTGTACCTTTTTGGGAGAAGAAGAGTCGAAGTGCTGGAAGGGGGAAGATTAGTAATGGTTCCTTGTGTATATATGATGTCTGTGTTTTTGTTCTTTCACCAGGTGATCATCTTTCATCTTGGGCTGATGATATCTGTTTTGTAAAGTAGAGAGAGTTGGATTTTGAAGAAGAACAAAGAAGGGCAGGAAGGCCCTAGGAGAAGGGTGCAGAAGCCCTTTTAATTGGGTGCTCTAGATAGCTCTGTTGTAATATAAGAGAAGGAATGCAGAAAGAAGGGAAGAAAGACACGCTTAGATTCGTGGGACTGTGTCTATTATTTAACAGTATCGTTTTTGGTGATCACCATTGGAGATGCTATTCTTAATTCTGTATAGGGAAGGAGAAAAATCCTTTGGTGCTGGTGATTGAATTTTGGTCAGTGTGACTGCAACAAACCCCCCCTTGTAAATGTATTTTGGGTTTTAATTTGGGATATGGCTTGGTCAAAGTATAATTTATTATGCTTCATTCTTATTGATTGGCTTTCATTTTCAATACGTCGGGTGTTTTCTTGGACATGCAGCCGAAGAATATGATGAACAGGTCAAGTATGGCGGATGGGGATGTATAATATTGTTTAGTCAGGTTTGTCGTTTCATACTAACCGCATCTGAAATTTGATACGATTTTGCCCACAAGTCATGCGTTGTGGGCGTTGCATCAAATTTATAGTTTGGGGTTTTCGTGCACGTCATCGAAATTGTATTTCCCTATTTCTATTTGTTTCCACTGTCTGTGGTCGCCAGGATATTTTACGTCTTGTGGTTGCCGTTGGAAGTATACTATCAGTAACCACACGATTTATACTACTTCCAGACAAAATGTTCGGATCTCTGAGGGGGACTGTGAGTGTCAGTGATGAACCGATGCCCACGATTCAAGGGTTTTCTTAGAGGTCACAAGCGAGAGAACAAAGTTGGTGTGGGCCGGCCTAGAGGGTGTGCTGGCCCGCCCTCCGGCACAGGGCCTCCGAATATTAGGGGCCTCCACTTAGATCCGTTAGTTACCGATCGTACATTGTAGATTGTATTTTTAGTATATGATTGATTGATTATGAGTATGATGACGATTTTAATAGATAATTTTAGGGGTTACGTATATGCGAAAGTAGTAATAATTTTGGAGGTTTTGTTTACGTATATGTTTGCAATGTTTTTACTCTATTGACAATGTTCTAGTATGAAAAATTGTTATTAATGTTTTAATATGTAATCATTAATGAAATTAAAAAGAATTTTAATGCTTTTCCGCGAATGATGAACACGTGTATGAAGTTATATTTCGCGTTAATGTTGTATGGTTGTCATTTTCAACGTTGCAATACGAAACCAATCATAATGTTGTTAACATATCAAAGATGATTATCATTCTTTGATGTATTTTGTTAATAAAAAGGCAAAATACACTTTCATAGCCATATCTATTCGCGTTGTGACAAATATAACTACTTTTTGAAAAACACACTCGTATAGCCATTCCGTCCAAAACTTTAACGGCAACATCATAAATGCTGACTGTACTAACGTTTTCTAGTGACGTGGCAATTTTTTGTTTAAACCAATCCTAGGTGGAAAATTTCATTTCTTATTAAGTTATTATTATAATTACATTAAAAAGTAAAAATAACAATTAATAAAAATGAAAAATCGATCATCTTCTTTTCCCCTTCTTTCCATCTACCCAGGAGACCCATCTGGATTCTGGATCATCTTTTTCTATTTCCTTCTCCCCAATCCCTTTGCATCTCAGCCTCTGCCCGTCGCTGCGATGGGTACCGACCTCTGTGGCTCGGCGGCCACAAGAATCCTTAACGACCCGCTCTGAGCTTAGTCGACGACTCCGACGAGATGGGTCTTCGAGTGCTGGTTCTTGGCGACCTGCTCTGAGATTCTCCCTGTCCATTACGCAGGGTTGCCGCAGAGTTTCGTAGGAGAGGGCGCAGTTCACCCACTTGGAAAGCCGCTGTTCGTTGGGGTCGACCTTGTCCGGCTTCTTCTCGGCGTACATCTTGAGGTAGCAGTCGAGGGACTCGACACCCGTCGCGCCGCCATCGCCTCCGCCGCCGCGGAGGCGGTGGCGGAGGGTGAGGGTGGAGAGAGCCGGGATTTGGGGGCCTCCGATGGGGATCGAGTCGTCGGAGAGGAGCTTCCCGTTGGCGGTGAAGTAGAAAGCGTCGGGGTTTCCATGGTCGGGGATCAGAGAGAGCTTTAGGGAGCGGAGGATTTGGGGCTGGGATGGATCGAAGGTTAGGGTTTGGAGGCGGCGAGAATTCGGGGTTCTGAGGAGAACCTGGCGCGAATTGGGATGCATATTTTGGGGGGAAATTTCTAGGGTTTAGGATGACAAAGATTGAGGAGAGAAATCAGAAATCGTTATTGTGGTTTGGGAGATTCTCCCAAATCTCAGTGCTGGTTCTTGGTTGATTCAAAATTGGGGTTTATGAGCTTGTCTCTGCTTTGATGTGTGAATGGCTAGAAGAAGATGATTTCCTCTGTTTCTGGCGTGAGGAAGAAGATGAAGGGGAAGATGATTTCCCCTGATTTCTCCACCAACCCAATGAAAAACAGAGGATGAAGCCGGCAACGACGAGATCGGCGGCTCGGGGAAGAAGAAAAGAAAGAATTCCAAACGACGGAGAGCGAGACGGGGCGATGGATCGGAGAGTGACAGGCAGAGATCGGATCTCGTTCTCTGCTCTCTCCATGGGGAAGGGGAAAGGAGAATTGGGAGAAAAAATTAAATGATTTTTCATTTTGATTAGAATAGTGGTGAAAAAAATAATTAAGAAAATTATTTAAAATAATAATTTAAACTGAGGTGGCTGACACATGACATACATTTGATGACGTGTACATCCACATCATTGAAGAGTTAACGGTGTTAAAGTTTATAACGGAAATGGCTAAAGTTGTCAAGCAAGTTTTCAAAAGTGGCTATACGAGTGTATTTTTCAAAAAGTGGCTATATTTGTCACAACGCTAATAGTTATGGCTATGAAAGTGTATTTTGCCTAATAAAAATGACAAAAATGGCTAATATACATACCCATAAGATCTTTTATTATTATATTTTTTGTTTGACTTATGATTGCAATTGAATAACATTATTAACAAAAATTGTTTCAATTATTAACGGTTTGTTGATAGATCATATTATAAAAGTTGATAACATTACCTTGGATGACGTTATCAACGATATACAAAAACATTACCACCGTTTTCCAATGTTAATAATGAACATTGTCAAGATTAACGAACATATAATGTAAGGTTCATAATCTCCCAAAAAAGTTAATAATTGAAACAATTTTTTTTGTTAATAAAAACTCTTCTTTCTAAACCTCCTATTACTAATATACTATACTTTTATCAACCTATACTACATATCAATAGAAGGTGTTCATTAAGGGTCACGATATTAACAAAAATTCGTCTTTTTCAACTTCAGATTTTATACTATTAACATTTTTCAACAATAACATTTGGACTATTAACGCTTTTTAAACCTCCTATTAATCAAATAATATACTATTATCAACCTATACAACATATCATTAATTAAGTTGTACGATCATCAGAATTGTATTTAACAGTTTCTTTTTGCTTCTTATAAAACTCTTATATACTATTATTAACATTCAATCATAGACCTATTAATAATGTTGAAAGGGAATAAACTTTATGAAACTAATACCCTATAACAAAACGTAACTAACTGAGCATTGGTAACAAACACATTAGTTATGCGAATCATTGAGCAAAAAAGTTAATTTAAGGTGATTTTTGTGTCCATATTTTATTTCGTATGTAAAGGTTTTCCAGGCCCCGCATGGATGTAGGTTTTGGCATTGCATGGGTGTAGGGTTTTGCGTTGATGTTTATTTTATATGCTATTGGTAAGTTTTGTTTAATGGGTGGTTAGGGTGTTTTACTTATACAGTTTCAAATCAATTTAAGGTTGAATGATTTGTAATCTTTTGGATGGTGATGGTCAATATGTTTATCCGATATGTTAAATTATCGTTTCAACAGTTTTAGGACGGCGTTATTAACGTTTCTTCCACGGATATTAACATTTAACTGCTATATTATTAATAATTAATATGCTCGTTATTAACGGGTTTTTTAAGTTAGTAATATTTAACACGACACTATCAGTAACGTGCTTCTCGCCATTGTCAATCTTTTTGTTTGTATTCGAAATTGGTTTACTGATAAAGTTCATTCGAAAATTATGTCGCAGTGGTTTTTAAAATTTCCAAGGGCGATGGTTAAAGTTTTTATATTTGTAACGATTTGTTCTATATTTGTACATTTCTCATAACGCATTATCAAATAACATGTATGTTATTCATGGTTTTTTTTCTTACCCCCAGTATACAACCATACAAAAAAGTGATACATTTTCAACAATTTTAGGTTTTGTTTGTGACTTTGTGAAATGGCATTATTAATGTTTCGTTTTATGTTATTAATATTTTTCGTTTGTATTTTTCGTTGTTCAAACACGGGTTATTAATATATTTATATGCAATTTGTAATTTTTAGCAGTGATCCACAATATGCCGCTTACAAATAATACAACGTGTAAGCCTGCAGTGCTTAGTAAGAGGATGGAGAAGAAGGCAGGTGCACCCAGAGTTGATGACAAATAATGACGTTATTATTAATTATTAACCTTTTCACTACGTCATTATTATTAACTATATCTTGTTAAATTATTAACGCAATAAATTATCAACATTTTCATCTACGTCATTATCATTTTAATCTTTGTTATTAACATTTTCACTTGTACACTTATCCACACGCAAATGTATTTCATTGTCAATTATTAACAAACAGTGACGTCATTAATAATTATACCATTTCAAATTATTAAGACACCATGAGGTTGAAGCTTTGCATCGGTGATTATGTCGACAAACTACGTTATCTATATTTTAACCTACATTATTAGCATATTTACTTACGTTATCAACATTTTCAGCTACGTCGTTATCATTTTAACCTGTGTTATTAGCATTTTCACCTATACACTTATCCACATGCAAAGATATTTCTTTGTCAATTATTAACAAACAATGACGTTATTATTAATTATACCTTCTCGAATTATTAATAGACCACGAGGTTAAAGCTTTGTACAAGTGATAATGTCAACAAACTAGGTTATCCATATTTTCACCTAAGTTATTAACATATTTACTTACGTTATTCATATTTTCAATGGTTATTAACGTATTTTCACCTACGTTATTAACATATTTACTTACGTTATTATCATTATAAGCAAAGTTAGTTACATCATCACCCAATTCAGTTATTAACAAACCAAGGTATTTCATGGATGATTAATCGATTATTAACAAACCATAAAGTTATTATTAATTATATTCAATTTAATTATTAACACACCACGAATCTACAAATTGCAGCATAATGGATTATCTATATTTTCACCTACGTTATTATCATTTTCCCTTACGTTATTAACATTTTCAATGGAACACTTTAATACCAACATAAGCCAATATATAATAACCAAATGAAATACACACAAAA